ATTCCTACCGCAGCAACAGGACGAGGGGAAGGAGATCTGGATCGCGTGCTAAACTTGATGGACATGGTCGAGAGAGTTTTCGGTGGAGAGCACTGAATTGACAATGTCACACTAAATGAAGAGATTTACCTAATAACTCCACCGTTAGCTCAACAGATCTTGTATGTACCGCCGAGAGGATTCGAAGAAGGGGAAAATAAAAACAACCCCCCAGGCAAAGTCAAAAGCACGTCCTCAACATCAGCACGGGATTGGCCCACCAAGATAAGCCCCAAAGTTTCACGTCCGGCGCGAAATCAGTCAGCAAGAGAGAGAGAGAAGGCCGGGCTCGAACGTGGCTGCATTGCCCGTCGATCGAGGTATAGCAAGTCTAGCTCGAGCACGGGAGCACTAAAAGTCGAGTAGTCGTCGCCGATTACCCGCTCGGGCGCCCAGCAATTCTGATTGGGAGGGCCAGAGACGCTCACCGGTACGGTCTGCTCCGTAGCCTGTCTTGGGAAGCCGACAGGGTGTAGGTATGCATGTATATCATCGTCGTAGGTACTCCGGACTAGTTGGCATCCGGAGTAGAGTCCCCTCCGAGGAGAATTCTAGTTTCAAGGGGCGCAGGATGGCGACTCCACTTGGAGAAAGCAGACAATGGCAAGTTTGTACGGGGTACAGGGAAACTAAACTGTACCTATGTACTTGTGTATGCATGTATATCGCAGAATCAGTTGTTTGCCTGTTTGTCTCCCTCCGCCAGCCCGACTGGTAACGATCCCGGAAAAAACCCCCGATCATAGGGCTTCTGGATTTTTTCCAATTTGCGCGATAGACGGGGTCGAAACTGACCTCGAAGAGTCAGAGCGGTCGTGATCTCAATGTCCTTCATGCTTTGAGTAACGGTGATTAACTGTCATTCCAGTCGGCGTGACTCGACTGTGTCTATAGTAGCGTATACTATTAATAATGACGGGGGGGGAACCAAATTAGCCCCTCCTCTCTGCCTCTCTGCCTGTCTGTCGCATCCTCGGAGGTCATGGCGGAGGGCCGATCGGGGGCGGCGCCTCCTAAATTTCGAAGAAGAAAAAACGGACCCACGTCTAGGGTCCGTGAGCTCTCCGGGTCGATGCTACCTCAAACTCTGCCCTTATACATTCTACTGCTCCCGGCGCCGGTATTGGACATTGGGACTTGTCTACGGTCGGGCTAGAACTTCAGCCCTGGTGGCGACTAAAACTCTGCCTCGCTAGCGGATCAACGACGGTCTGTAAGCGATACCGGACGATATCAGTGCTCAAATTCTAATATAACCAAGTGAGACTTGCATGGGGTGGATCGTGAAACACGAGAGATTAGTTGGTAGGGTAGGGTTATCAACCAATTCGACGTCGGAATCCGTTAATCTCCAATTCAGGGGCGAACGGCGGCGGGAAGAAGACAAAAAAAAAAGGATGCAAGCCACAATCAAAGAAGTTTTCGTCGCATGTAGTAGACAAGCAAGCAAGGGATGAGCGGCGCTATCTCGAGAAGTGCAATCTCGACTTGACCGTGTCGCACCGGCTCACTGATAACGGCCAGGATTTGATGTTTCCATTAGACAAAACAATTGCCAGATGATGCGCGACTCCTTTGTTCCTGGTACATCGGATCTACCTGGATCCGGCAAGCTTTCATACCAAGGACGTGGTACACCCGAAGTACCTTACCTTGGACCTTCCCTTGCCTAGACCGTTGCACGATCCATCAGTAATAAATTTTACCCGAATAAAAAAAAATATTCATTATAGGACTACCCTCGATGACTGGAATAAATTCCTTGCTCGACATGCAGACATGCAGATATGCAGATATGCAGACCACCCAACATCCTCTCGAGTCAACCAGACAAGTTGAGAATTTTGGATCAGCCAAGCCGTCAAGTACAACCGTCGCCGGTCAATCAATGCCTTCTTCAGCGTTGGCAGCGCTGCAGAAGAATTTTCAATCACACTAGAGTTCTCACCACAGAATACTCTGGCGGAAGGAAGGAGGGGGGAAGAAAGAGATTGACCAAAGTCAAATAAAAGAACCGGACATCAAGTCCTGAAAAGAAAAAAAAAATACTTGGGATCAGATTCTGATGTCATTCTGGCCATTTTTCAAGGAAAGTAGTTGGCATGAAGGGCGCTAGTGCATCCTTGCTGGGGTGGAAAGGGGATGGACGGAGTCGTAGCGTCTATGTATGTCGTTGAGAGATGAGACTAGCACTAGGGTCCTTGGAAGGGGGGATGGGGTTAGCTCCAGTGGGACTCGTCGCGATGCTAATTTAGCAGTATTGGTCGTGCATTTTCTGGCGTGCTCTGGCGTTGATAAAGAACTCATTCAACAACCACGGTCGGGCTTTATCGCCATGAAGATATCCGCTATCTAACCTCCGAGTCCAAATTCTAATTCATGCTAACCATAACCATAGACCATATCAGTAGATCCTAATGGCCGCAAACGGCAATCGCCCATGTCGATCCGGTCTTACCACCGACTGATCGCGCAATGTCCCCAAGTCGCACATGGTCAATGGTACAAGCACCAATAGGGGGGATGTTTCGACGATCGAGACAAACGTGCGCTTGAAAATGATCCCACAGTCCACACAGATCATATACATCGTAGAAGGATCCACCGCAGGGAAACACCTCCTGATGCAAGAATAAGGAGGTGGTTAGTTCGGGAGTGGGGGCTTATCATGTCCATTCCGGTGAAGACAACGGTCCGTATTGATTGAACATCACTCTCAGAGCCCCAAGTTTTACATGGTACTGAATATGTCACATAATATGTCGGACGAGTATCTAGAACCTCGAGGAGCGTCTCTGGTGGCTGTTGGTTGGGCGGTGGGGCGGTGGTTAGACCGGCGCTAAGATGAAGGCTGGAGACTGGAGACTGAGGGAGAGGAGGGGGTGGGGACAACATGACTGACAGATGGACTGATCACTGATTAGTATGTTAAGTTCCAGCCGGACAAGAATCCATGGGAATGGCAGTCCGGATACTTCGGTCGGGGGGAGGTGACGGTCGTGGCCTTATCTACTCCCCGTTCGAGTTCGTCGATCCATGGAAAAGGCTGACGGTTCTTTTCTTATTTGCTCGCCCTCATCTGTCGACGATGAGAGTGATTGGATTCGGATAGATATCAGTCCCTTTCTGATGGAACGAGAGTAGACTGTCATATCATCTTCATCTCCAGGCTGAGCCGCCAGCAGGATTTCGCACGGTGATGCGAGACAGTCGCTGCAGGGATGCACGGCTTCCTTGTTTCTGACATTCCTGCCTGGCTACAGAGTCGGAGTAGCTGCATAACGGAGTGCATTCACAGTCCCATACAGTCCCATACATGCGCCCAATGCATGGAGGGGACCACTCACAGCAAAATATTCCGGAGATGCAGCATGGAAGATCACCTGTCCTCCACCGAGCCACATGTACATCGTCTGGCAGTGAGTACATGATACTCTTGTCTGTACTCTGTCCAATTCGCGACCGTGGATCCGAGGAGGGAGTCAGTCCATCTCACACAAAGTACCTATTCATCATCGAACGGTGGAAGCAACGGCCGAGAGGCGAAAAACGAAGTATCAGCCATGGAACGCTACCGACCGATAGGGAGTGGTGGGTAGCAGTACAGAGTACAGAGTACCGAGTACAGTAGGACGTCGAGCCCTCGCAGACTCGCAGACTCGCAGAAAACGCACTGACTGGAGGGGGATCGTCCCACCGTCCCAGACCGTTCGATCGCCTAAATTAAGTTGACTAGCAAGCAAGCATGGCTCGTATTTACCGCTAGTACCACCTCCACTTCCATCATCGTTTTCCGGGTACGGCGGCAAATTTCTCGATGGCGCGCAGCTGGCGACCTTCTCGCCATGTTCGATGGCCATGGCGAAAGATGGCTTACTCAGGGGGAAAAATAGAAAAGTAGATTTTATTCTCCGAATCAACCGTATCAACAGCTTAAAGTTACCTCCAAGAAAATAAATCATAAAAAAAAAGAAATCGAAAATTCAATTCCCTCCATTTTTAGGAGAATCCGCGGAACTACAGACTACAGACCTCTTATCTTTACCGTACCTGTAACTCCTCGAGCCTGCCTCCTCTAGTTGCTGTTGCAAGACTTCCCTGGTTGTACCTTCTACCGACTTATCTTGGTCAGATCATATAATTCTCTACCCCCTCCACCTTCTTTTCCCATTCCCTTCTTTTCTTCCCCAGACCAGTCCCCTTCGTGGATCTTACCTCCCCTACCCATTCACCTCTTTTTCTTCCGGTGAATTAAAAAGTCTACCAAGTGCACGGATTCCCGTTTGCCACTCTCCGTTAATACTACCTCGTTTCAATTTTTTTTTCTCTTTGTTCTCTCACTAGATGTCGAACCAACAAGGTACGTCTTTCCCACTGGGGATTCTAACCCACCATCCATTCATTCCCGTTTCCTGTCCTATTCTTTTTTTTTTCTTTTTTTCATCATCAAGCATCATTCCTCGTCAATCTCCATAGGTCCCTGTCGGTGGCTTTTTCGAATCACCCCCTTTTGTGCTACTGGTTGGAGCTTCTGTTGTGATACCTTCTTGTCCTTTGCCTCCCTCTTCCGAGTTCCGGACTGCGCCGTGCTTAACTAGACTCGCCTCCCACTCCAATCATCTTTAAATTCATCCTTCGCTATATCATCTCTCTGTTTCATCCGTTGTGCTGGCCCCATCCATATACGATCTTGTGATATTCCAGAACTCGACTCTTTGTGCTCCACCTCGTCCCACTGACTCGCAAGACGTCATTCCCCACATCTGCAACAAGACAAACGCCGTCTCCGCATCAAGCTCGTGCTGATTCCTGGTTTCTAGTCTTTCTTCACAGGGGCCGCTTCAATCAACTGCTGACCATCTGAACGCCCTGTCGGACATCTGGAAGCAAACTAAAGGATCACTTGGGTTGGTTCGCTTCGTTACCCACCATTCTGCTGTTGGTGCACACAAGCCGGCCGAATGCCATACACTGCGCCGCTGAAGTCGACGCTTTCCGCGCAGCACATTGAATACTCCGCCCCGGTCTCTCAATCCTGTCCCACCTCGCCCACGCTGGCTAGCCCTCAAGAAGGACGCGCCAATCTTTCGCGTTTCTATCACTCGACAGCCTATCTCCGGAAGCACCGGAGAAGCTCGTCAAACAGCAAGAATTCCGTTGACAAACCCTTTAAAGTTCATCATGCCCTTGATCCCCATGGCAGTGTTCGACAATCACCTCCTCCCGTAAGTGAGGCTCTCATGCCCCCTGGAGCTATCATCTCTCCACCGGAATCTGGCCCCAATTCCAGCGACGAAGAGGCCCCGTACAAGCATCGAGATGCTCCCCGCTTGGAGGAGCTCGAGGCCGCAGTGAGATCCATCGAGCAAAGAAGGGTTTCCTCCCCCGAACGTCAATCCGCGAGCGAGATGCCCTCCTCCAGTATCACTCCCACAGCCAATGCTGCCAAGACACCCACGCGTCCGCCTCTGTCCAGGGAGGCTCGCAAGATCTCCCACTCGCGGTCTTTCACAGAGAATGCCATCGTGCATCGTCCCGATGACTCCGCGTTAACAAGCTCGCCCGAAGAAAGTGATCGAGATGATGAACCACAACCCAAACATCCTATGGTCCGTAAAAAGTCGGGGGAGCTTGTGAGACCCGCTCTGCGTCCAGCTTCGGCTCGGAGGCGCCCATCAAGCATGCCGGGAACCCCCACCTACTCCAAGGCGGTCCATTTCGACTCTCAGCTTGAACATATCCGGCATTTCTTGCAATTGGACAAACCACAGGCGGTCAGTACTGGGACCTCGCCTGTCGAAGACTTCGAGGCGCAACGAGAATTCCCGTTCAAAAAGGAAGGCTCTTCTGATGGGTCATCTCTGGAATGGCGATTGCATCTTTCCAACTTCCCCAAAGACACTGCGACTCGATCCCAGCAACGAGTCCGGCTGGAACGACTGTCTCTCTCGTCCGACAAGAACACCCTGGTTGGCGTGGTTGCGGCGGCAAACTTGACATTTGAGAAGCATGTCGCCTCTCGATTCACATTCGACCAGTGGAACACTGTATCTGAGGTCCATGCAGAGTATGATCAGGGTTTGAACCGCAATCAAAAGTACGACGGGTTCGATCGGTTCACATTCAACATCAAGTTGAATGACCAGGCGAACCTAGAAAGGAAGACCATGTTCATCTGCATCCGCTACAGTGTCAAGGGCTGCGAGTACTGGGATAATAACCATTCTAGGAATTTCCAGGTGAATTTCCTGAGAGTCCCCAAAGCGAAACCTTCATCCAACAGCCCCCAGTCGGTGCCCTCGATGGCATCGCGTCCGACTCTTCCGCGGAGCAGGACCTTCGCCCATTCCAGCACCCGCCCTCACTCGGTGCCTTCGGCCTTTGACGATTTCTCCAACCTGAACGATAGCCTATCCTTCGGTCGACCCTCGAAAGAATCCAAGAGCGTGACACTGTGTGAGGATGCCTCCCATGACCTTGAAACCCCGCCCCCTGTGCGCCGGGAAAAACAGTCCCACCAGATGTTTGGTACTCGCTATGACTTCGAGGCATCCTTGTCTGCGGTTATGCGGACCAAGCCGGAGCTCGATCGGACAACCCTGACTGCTCGAGCGAAGTCTGGGCGACCCGCAACCAACGGCGAAAAACAATTTCAGCCTAAGGGGAGAGGGTCTGATAGTCAGAAAGACATGTCAGTTGGCGAGAAGAACCCCCAAACAGGGCATAGAGACGAATCTAAACCTTCTACCCTAGCGTCCGGCAAACCGCACCGGGAGTCGTCAACCTACAAGGAACTCGTCGATAGATATTGTTTCTTTGGGTCTTCAAACTCCAACGATTCTGGACCTTCGGGGTCCGAAAATGACGAGCAAGTCCGCAGGGATCCGATTCATGCTTCCAATTCACCATCACCGAAATCATCTCCACTCCCGTCACCTATTATGGATGTGACAAAGAGCAGCGGTCGGAGTGCCTCCGCTTTTCCGAATTCTTCTGGCTATAGCCATCATCAACCGATCCAGAACAGTTTCTTTAAGGAAACTCATACACCTACAGCCATTCGAGGATAAGAGATGCATATTGACACCCTTATCTGGCTTGATACAAATGAAACACCACGATCTCACATGCAACATTTTCTGCGCGTTTAGCGTTTTGTTGTGAAACTCGACCTTGTAAAGGTTCCTGTCCTGTTCATTTTCTATACCTCCGTTTCTATTCTCTCCGTTGTAATTTCCTCTTTTCTTTTCTTTTTTCTTTCTCGTTTTCATTTTCATCTCGTTCCATGTCCTTCCTACCAGGGATACATGAGTTTGTGTACGCCTTTTGCGAAGTGTAATAAACCGCGGGGCGATCACCTCATGGGTGTCATACGGCACGTTATACCCAGTTCATTCGACAGAAGGGAATCGCGCTGTGTCGGGTTGCTGTTTTGTCGACCCGCAGTGCCTCACCCTAACGATTACGAAGTTACGCATTTTCCATTTCCACGTTTAGCTGGTTGTCAGTTCCCAGCGATCATGCAAATGCTCTGAAACGGGCCATTTGTGAACATGAAAAGTGTCTCCTTTTTCTTCGTTTCTGCTCTTTTCTTTTCCGACTGCATCTACATGGCTTTTTGTTGCAATCTACTCAATCAGTGGCGAGGTTCTGTATGGAGGGCGAGTGCTTTGTTTTTAATTCACGTTGTTTTTCTAGCATGCCATAATTGATGGTCTGTTATCTGCACAAACGGGGTTTTTCTGTATGATGATTCCACTCCGCGGAGTTTTGGTCTGCTATGTACGGCGAGGAAGCAAGGAATACATATCTGTGACAGACGGTAGCTCTACAATCGGAAGGATACTTGGTAATCGTATATTGTTGAGTTTGTTCAATGTACGATTTGCAATTGCATATGGAGTATTTATTTTGCTGATCTTGGAATGTAATCACTGTAAGATCGTAAGCTCTCTACTCCTGCGGTGTGTGCTGTATATAAGTATGGCGGGGTGAAGACTTAGGAGCGGTCGCAATGCGTTGTAGGTGAATAGGCGCTTTCCGCATAACAAACTTTAGAAAACAGCTGTTGATGTCTCCCGGAACTTCAAATATTTGAAGAGCGACTTCACCGAATACACCCATGATGAATCCATGATGATGAATAAGTCGATTACATCGACGAACTATAGAGTCACGTGACCTACCCGGGATCCCGTCCGCTCGGGCAGGCAGCGCTCGGCGGGCTGCGGTGGCCGCGCCAGAATCAGCGCGTGGAAAGCGGTCGTTCATAACGCGCTTTTTCCCAGCCGACACCCACCAATCAACAGGCCGCATTGCTTTTGACCCTTCCAGATCACCTCCTAGGCTTAGTCACTCGGCCAAAGGGCGAAACGAAGGAAAAAGGAAGGCCCAAATCACTCTCGCTTGCCGCCCGCCCCGGCAAACGTATTTAAGCAATCGCCCCTCTCCCACCACCGCCCCTTTTGACGTTCCTCTCTTCCTTTTTTCCTTCTTGCTACTCCTTCTTTCAGCATCCCGACCCGCAACGCGTCGCGTCTTTCATCTGCCATCCACCATTTTCATCACTTTCCATCAATTTTCAATCCGAATTTAATATCCTAAACCTTCTGACAATATGACTGGACGTAAGTCATTCCGCGTTCCCGCTTTTCCCCCAGGTTCTATTCGACATGGTCGCCCGTGAGGCTATCGTTGTTCCTGCACCCCTGGCGGCCACGTGATGTCACAATCTTGCCTCAGGCTTCCCACACTCACCTTCACCAACCTACTTGATCATGTCCAAGCATACTAACTGACTCTATCTGCAGGCGGAAAAGGTGGCAAGGGTCTCGGCAAGGGTGGCGCCAAGCGTCACCGCAAGATCTTGCGTGACAACATCCAGGGTATCACCAAGCCCGCTATCCGTCGTCTTGCGCGTCGTGGTGGTGTCAAGCGTATCTCCGCCATGATCTACGAAGAGACCCGCGGTGTGCTCAAGTCCTTCCTCGAGTCCGTCATCCGTGACGCCGTCACCTACACTGAACACGCCAAGCGTAAGACCGTCACCTCGTTGGACGTCGTCTACGCCCTCAAGCGCCAGGGCCGTACCCTCTACGGTTTCGGTGGCTAAGTTATCGGCCGTGCACTCTGGTCTGGCTGTTTTGCTTCCATCTTCGATTCGAAATCTTCATCATGTCTTGACAATGCCCGAGCAGTGGCGAATGCTGGCTGGTTGGCCAGCTTGGCATGATGAATGGATGGATAGATCGGCCAGATCGGATGAATGGTCATGGTTGTGGTGTTTTCTTTTCAAACGTGCTGGGAGTTGCTCTTTTGCTTTTATTCACAACAAACTGGGTACGGGGTTCGGAATGGTTGGGTTGGTTTATTCTCGAATGATATCTATCTACGTCTGGGTTATGGGTTCGGATACGAAGAATTGGCCGGATTGTTTCTACTGTCTGTAGACGCCATGGTCTGTCTATTTACTAGACTAGGACTATCAATCCAAGCGGATTCGAAACTTGCATTCAATTCTTGTAGACTCGTAGTTGGCTTTTTTCCATCAAGGTATGCAAATGGCAGAGTGGAAGACGACGGATAGTCAAATCACATGCCGCCCGTTGCGTGCACGGGCCACACGTGAGCATGACGTTATCATCAAGTCCCCGAAGGAGGGCGATTAACCTCGGTCGGTGCGATGGCATGGTTTTAATCCACCGGTACCTTCCTGTGCGTTGCTTTCTACTGTCCTCATCTCTGAGGGATCATTCCATTGTGACTGAATCTCGCACCTTATGACTCGTCTTCGGATGCTTATCACCTTCGATGGTAGCTACGGTACCTATAACTAAGGCGTCTAGCATTGTTTGTCCCGGTCGCTATCTTGCATCTTTGCCTTTGAAAGCTCTTCGAGTCAAGAGACAATTCATCGACTCAAACGATTGATTCATACCATAGTCCGACTTCACACTCGTGCATGGACAAGATGTCCGAATACAAAATCTCGTACAATCCCGAGCTGGTATGGCTTCTTTCTCTCCGCGTGGTTTTGTCGAACGACAGGGTGACTTTTCTTGCTATCTCTCGCTTCCTGTCGTGGTTCCATATGGCTAACTCTGGTGTTCAAGGATACGTACCAACTCTACCACCGCTACGAAGAAACTCCTCCCAGGGAAGATTGGAAAACCGCTGCCCTTCGCGGCCCTGCTCTCCCCGCGCTGGGGAACGCCGTTGCCGGTGCCGTCGGGGCTGCGGTCTCCAACCTCGCCACTTACCCGCTCAGTCTGATCATCGCGCGATTGCAGACGCAGAGTCAACGGAAGAAGGACAAGGGGAAGGGGAAAGCTGAGGGCGATGACGATACTGAGGATGATGCGGAAGAATACACTGATTTTGTCGATGCCGCTCGCAAGATCTACGCCCGGGAAGGGCTGGGGACTTTCTACACCGGTTTGGCGCAGGATACGGTGAAGACGGTCGCGGACTCGTTTCTCTTCTTCCTGGCGTATGAGTTCTTTCGACAGCGGAGGATCAATGCGCGGTTTGGTGCGAATAGGCGGACTAAGCATATGGTGCTTCCCGTGCTGGATGAGTTAGCGGTGGGCGTGCTGGCGGGCGCCTTCGCCAAGCTGTTCACGACGCCGTTGGCGAACATTGTGGCGCGGAAGCAGACGTCGCAGGCGTCGATGCGCACTAGAGATATCGCGGCGAATATCAAGGCGGAGAAGGGGCTGAGGGGGTTCTGGTCGGGGTATTCGGCGTCGCTGATTTTGACCCTGAATCCCTCGATTACGTTTTTCTTGAATGAGGTGCTCAAGTACGGCTTCCTTCGTCGTGTCCAGCGGGGTGGTCGCTCCTCGTCGGCCATTATTACGTTCCTGTTGGCTGCGATTAGCAAGTCGGCCGCGTCGACGGTCACCTATCCGTTCTCTATGGCTAAGACCCGAGCCCAGGTGACGGGGTCCAGTCTGTCGAGTGCTGGGAAGGGTGCGGACAGTGGTGAGAAGGATGATGCCGACGAGGGAATCTCCTTGACGCCGGCGATTATCTCGAACGTGATTGCGATGGCGCGAACAGACGGGGTCTCTGCACTCTACGCCGGCCTGTCTGGAGAGATCCTCAAGGGATTCTTCTCTCATGGGTTCACCATGCTAGCTAAAGACGCCGTTTATTCTGCCATTGTCCAGAGCTACTATCTCCTTCTGGTAGTCCTGAGGAGATACCCGACGCCCGAGGAACTCATCGAACGCGCGCGCGAACAGGCCGAGGAGTGGGCGGATGCAGCCCGAGAAGGCGCCCGAGATCTCGCTGACAAGGCGCGACAGGACGCCGGCGGGATCCTGGGCAGTCATACGGGCAACGTGGCGGTCGAGATGACATCGACCAGCGGACCTGGCGGTGTGGACTTCTGGTCGGATTCCAACGAGACGGCGGAGATGGTGGGCGACTACGTTGAAGACGAGGCTGCCGAGTGGAGGAGTCTGTACCATTGGTTTTGGGAGAAGGAGAAATTCGGCAAAGAGTAGGCAGTTTTGACTGTTTTGTATTCTGAGAATCATGTGGTTTTCTTTCTAAGCGGGAGTTCTTTTGTGCTTGTCAAAACCAGATTCTGTGTGTTCTTTATCCTCCGATTCATAGTTCGTCTCAATATTCCAGATCATGACCTGTCATTTCCTCCATACCTCTCAACCTATTTCCCATAGGCTATAACTATATCGACAGAATATTAATACCCACAGCCCTATGCGGAGATCCATTCCAGCCGGTGGAGCCCAAAAGCACTAAAACTACTCCGTAAAAGCAGCCGAGATCGATCCGCAGACCGCAGCCTTTCCTCGCCCACTCGAGTGACCTTGCCTTGACTTTCTTTCTTTCTTTCCCCCATTTTCCCCTCAGCCTTGGCTGCTCTTCTTCATGGAGACCGAACCACGCAGTGGTCCCGGACTGGGGGACCTTGAGAAAGAACTCACTTGTTCGGTAGGTGTATTTTTTTTTTTCTTTTTTGATTTTCGTTCTGGTCCTCGGGAGTCGGGAGGTAAGGGAGACAGACGTTGGGGTGGGAAATCCAGGAACCGCTCTCACTCTTCGTTCGGGTCTTTTCTCCTGCGTTTCGCTGTCGATGTTTGTTGTTTGTCGCTGGCATGCGGTGGTCCTCTTAGGAGATATATTTACTCTTGACTCATCGAGTTACGACGGAGAAGACAGACCGATCGGCGTGGCCTTGAGTTCATTCCATCTCGACCTCTACCTCCAATCTGAACCATGGTTCACCCATAATCTATCCATTCAAGTGCTAACCCACTCTACTCCCCCAGATCTGCACAGACCTTCTATACCAACCCCTCACCCTCCTCGACTGCCTCCATACATTCTGCGGCTCATGTCTGAAAGAATGGTTCGCCGTGCAAGGCGCCCGTCGCCGATCGTCGTCGTCGTCCTCTCCACGTTTCACCTGCCCCTCATGTCGCGCCGTCGTACGCGAAACCCGTCCCAATGCCACCGTCACCACGCTGCTGGATATGGTCCTCGCTAATAACCCGGAGCGAGCGAAGCCCGAGGACGAGAGGGAGGAGATCGCCCAGAAGTATAAGCATGGGGATTCGGTGTTTCCGGTCGCCGCGGTGGAGAGTGGTTCCGGTTCCGGTGGTGGGCAGGACGAGGAGGATCGCAGGTTGTTGGAGGAGGTGAGGGAGTTGAGTTTGAGGGATGCGAGACGGACGGCGAGGGAGTCGAGGAGTCGCTCTGGGAGGGCGGAGAGTGTCGATGCGGATGCGAGGTCTAGACGACGGAGGGAGGAGGAGAGAGCCGCGAGAAGACAGCAACAGCGTGCACTACGACCGGAGGAAGCGTCGCGCCGGACGAGGCAGATCGAGCATCAGAGTAGTTTGCGGTCGCTGTTGAGTTTGTCGGACACCGAGACCATGGAGGAGGAGATCCTGCGCCAGATTCTGGAGGAGGGCTTGCTCGAAGATATTGATTTGGATAACTTGGGGCCGCGCCAGGAAGAGGAGCTGAGTGAGCGGATCGCCGACGCTTATCGACGGAGACATCGCTTGCGGTCGCGATCGCGGCAGAGACAAGAGGGTGGTGATACAACGTCGCAGGCTTCGACGCGGCCTCGCGCGAGATCGCAGTCCGTGCAGAGACCTCCTCCGTCCGGTTCTACGTCTACGACGTCGCCTCGTGAATCTCCGAGAAACCCGCCGGTGTCGAGGCCGTATCTGTTGGATCCGCTGGTTTCGCGATCGGGGCAGTCGGGCCATCAGAGACGGCTGTCGGATCAGGGGAGCAGTCGGCGAAGGACGTCGCCAGTCCCTGTCAACCCGGCGTCGTCGTCGGAGGTCTCCTTGAGACCGGCTGCGAGGTCGTCGAGTGATATGGTTGCTGAGCGCCCTCGCAATTCCTATTCCGAGCGAGCTAGAGCGTCGGATTCTACGGCTCCGCGGTCACGGCGTGCGACTGCATCTGAGCAAAGCGTTCCGAATATATGGGTGGTTGGGGCGAATGACCGGGAGCTGCGACGACAGCGGCCGGGTCGACAGTCGATCGACATTCCTGCGTCAGCTACCTCGCCTCTACAGAACGTGCAAAACAATCCGAGTCCAAGGCGTCCGGAGCCTATCATCACGAACCCGTCGACGACGAGTTCGTTGGCTGCCGAAGTGAACAGCCCCGCTAGGCAGGATGCGCGATCACGGCCGTCGTCTTCTCGATCTACTGCCTCGCAAATGACAGCGTCCTATGTCGAGCCGTCTATTTCATGTGAGCGCTGCGGAAAGGCAAATATTCAATACGACTTGCATAAGAAGTGTCTCCAGTGCAAAGACGGCGGTTATCATCTGTGTCTACGATGCTATCGCTTAGGCCGTGGCTGCTTGGACTGGGCCGGGTTTGGCTCGTCTGCTAAGGCAAACTACGAACGAATCTGCGCCGTCTCGAATGGCGGGCCTACGCCACCGGCTGAGTCTCAGCATGTCTTGCTATCTTGCAAGTACAAACGGCCGGTGGAAGGTTTTCGGCGCGCACGAGACGGGAGGGAGGTTACCAGCGACGACCCAGCGCGGAGACTGCAGACGGGGCTTTTCTGCGAGATCTGCCACTCTCCAGCCAATGACTGCTTCTGGAAATGCAACGACTGCAACGAAGGCGACTGGGGATTCTGCAATCGATGTGTCAACCAAGGAAAATGCTGCACGCATGCACTGTTGCCGATCTGCCGCGTAGCCGCTGACGGTCGCTCCGACCTGCCGACACCATCACCGGTTCCCAGCGAAGTACGCACCGGCTCGTCAACTCCTCCCACGGCACCCGGGGACCGTGAAATGTTCAAGATCCTTAGCTTCTCGACCAACTGCGACATCTGCACCCATCCGATTCCTCCGTCGGTCCTCCGATTCCACTGTTTACAATGCAACAATGGCGACTACGACATTTGCGCCAACTGCTATCTCAAACTCGTGGCGACCGGGAAGATTCGCAAGGAGAACGGGCACAATGGCTGGCGACGCTGTTTGAAGGGTCATCGGATGGTTGTCATCGGGTTTGAAGATCGCGAGGAGGGCCAACAACGAGTTATTGTGCGCGACTTGGTTGGCGGCCGCGCATTGAAGGACGAACATGTCCAGAACTCATCGTCTGCGTCGGCCTCGCCCGTTGCCGGAGGCACCCCGTCTGGCGAGACTCCCTCGGGCGATTGGAGCTGGAAGGAAGGCGCCGAGCGACGCAAAAAGGCCTCGCGTGTACGCACCCCATGGGCGAACCTCGAGCGCGACCGGAACGGAGCTTACCATAGCGCCTCGGAGCCGTCGACTCCTATCACAGCCAGCTCAAATCCCTCGACTCGTCGGTTCCCCCCAAATGGCGGCGTGGGCGTCATTCTTCATGCTCTGTGGTCTTGGTACCCGGAGGACGGGGTGCAAGACGAGTTGATGTTTCCGCGGGGAGCGGAGATCACTGAGGCCGAGAATATCAATGACGATTGGTACTGGGGATGCTATGCTGGTTCGACGGGCTTGTTTCCCGGGGCGCATGTTTTTGTGGTGGGAGAGATTGTTTAGGGGGGGAGGATGGCTGAGTTTTCTGTTTGTTCCGTCTTGATTTCCAGGTTGATATTTGATGCTCACCATTGCATAGCCACATGGGCCACATGATGTATGTATGTATATGATGTTGAAACGATTAATGAATGAATGGGTACCTTCATCGTGATGCTCTCCGGTGTCAGGCAACCATGTCGATGCCTGGAACCTCGTGATTTCCGCTTCCTCCGACTGGCTGCGCCACTCGCACCTTCACTTTATACCTCAGGGATACATCAGCGATGAGTTTATCTCCGCGCAATTTAACCAGTCTGACGGAGTAGTATGATGACTCTTGTCACCACTCAGCCACAGAAAAGTGCCATGGCCATGTCTCGACGCCTTCTAGAAGGCGCGAATGTGCCTTGTCCCCACTGCTGCGCCACCATGACGAACGGGTGGGAGATGCGCGGCGTTCCCCGCTTATGAGCCTCTCCAGATAAAAATTGCCTCGTCCCTTCCACCTCCCTCCTCTGCTTCCCTGCAGTCATCGCCTTTACTATCCAGCATCCACATCTCTGGTATCTACAGATCTCATCATGTCGCATCAGTATCCTCCTAACCGTATGTCTCGCAGTTTCCTACCCCGCGATTCTCTCTGCGCTCAGTTACTGACTTTCTTTTTTCTTCGCGTCTAGAACCTCCTTATCCTCCTTACGGTGGCTCTTCTCACGGTCCTCCAATGCATCCGGGACAACAGCCCTATGGAGGACCACCAGGAGCACCACCCTTCCCGCCTTACCCTCAGCAGGGCCAGCACAACCCCACGTTCCAGAACCCCCCGTATCCCAATGCCGGCGGTCCTCCTCAGCAATTCGGCCATTCTCCCAGCTTCCCCCCACAAGGTCACTCTCCTTACGGTGGTCCACCCCAGGCTCCGTACGCTGGACATCAGGGCGGTCATGGGTTCCCCCCTGGCCCCCCGCATGGTCCTCCTCAGGGCCCTCCTCAGGGCCCTCCTCAGGGCCAGCATCAGAGTCAGCATATGTATCAGAGCCAGTATCAGGGCCCTCCTCATGGGGCGCCGCCCATGCCAGGTCCTCATGGACACCAACCGTACCCGTCTCCGTCGTTTCCACCACAAGCTCAGTTCCCCAGCCAGCCGGCCATCCCATCGCTGGGGTACACACCCGGTCAGATCGCTCCCGGCGATTTCCGTCCTCAAGCAGACGCCCTCCGGAAGTCGATGAAGGGATTCGGCACCGACGAAAAGGCATTGATTGCCGCGGTCAGCAAATTGGATCCCTTACAGATGGCTACTGTCCGCAAGACCTACTCCGAGTATCTGCGTCGCGATCTCTACAAGGACGTGAAGTCTGAAACCAGCGGATATCTTCGCCAGGGCCTGCTGGCCGTTATTGACGGTCCACTGACCCACGATGTCACATGCGTCCGGGACGCCGTGGAAGGCATGGGCACGAAGGAGTGGATGCTTAACGACGTCCTGCTTGGTCGATCGAACGCCGATCTTCAAGCCATCATGTCCGCGTATCAACGCATCTACAACCGCTCTCTGCAGAAAGACGTGGAAAGCGACCTCTCCTTCCAGACTCAGGGGCTGTTCAAGACGGTCTTCCGCTGCCAGCGCCACGAGGAATCCATGCCTCTTGACCCGCGCATGATCGAAGAAGAAGCCAAGTCCATCCATTCCGCGACCGCCGGCCGAATGACCAACAACGTTGAGGAGGTCTGCGGTATCTTCGCCCGCTCATCGGACGAGGAGCTCCGTGCCATCAGCCAGGCCTATGGCCAGCGGTACAACACGTCTTTGGAGAAGGTCGTCGAGAAGGAGTTCTCCGGTCACATGAAAGACGCTCTCCTGCATATCCTGCGCGGCGCGTTGGATCCGGCCATGCGTGATGCCATTGCGTTGGAAGACTGCATGAAGGGAATGGGCACCAAGGACGAGAAACTGGTGGTGCGCGTCGTGCGCGTGCATTGGAACCGGGCGCATCTAAACCAGGTCCGAGGAGCTTATCAGCATAAGTACCAGAAGGGCTTGGTCGACCGGATCAAGGGCGAGACTAGTGGGGATTACCAGCGGTTGATGGTTGCTCTGGTGGAGTAAACACTGCATTTGGTGACTTTATTTCTTCCTATTTTTACTTTTTTTTTCTGCGTCCTGGACTTTAACTGTTGTGATACCACATGGGTGGCTCTATTCATTTGGTGTTTCTTTTCGTTTACTGCTATGATCACTTAATGTATGATACTATGGACTGGGTATGATTAATGCCGGTGGGGTCTTTGTCTTCCATTCTCATAGTACTTTTGACTTGTCCTGAAATTTAATGCGTACACCCTAGAAAGTGCTTAATCAATCTTGACTCAGTAACATCATTATCCTAGTACTCATACGGCATCTCTTCACCTCCAAGTCTACACTGTAGAACCGGATGAGAAATCCTGGTGCCTGAAAGCCAAGCTTTTCTTGAATTCGTCTATTCCATTAACGTGAAACTGGTTTTCTGAGGGAAAGATAATGCCGCAGAATACTCTGTTCTTTGGTTGATTACGTGCGCATCTACGTAGGACTTGATCATTGATGGTACTTGTGAAACATGTCCCGTGGAAGTATTTTTTGTAGACCAGGTGTGTAGGACAGTGACTTGTCTTAGCAATGATCTACATGTACATACATGTGCACAATCCAGCCAAGAAATCCAATAGAATTAACCCTCTATCCCTCCAAAACGAAATCCAAGCATCATCTCCGTAGACGCATCCTATTTCGCAATCCATCATCGCCCTCGCGGCATGACGCCAAGCCCGCCAAGCAAGGACATTCACCGGCCTGAGGCCACATAAGGCTGAAGTCATGATCGGCAGTTGTCGACCCGATCGGGACTAGCGGGTTTTAGGATATTAAGGGCGGGACCCACTTTATCGAGGAAGGGGTTATGATAAGATGATGCATGACGTCTTTGCTGCATTATTACCTATTGTTGGTCCCTTGGGAAATACACCGGAATGAGATCATGTATTCTCGTACTCCGTACACATAGTTTCCTCATTTCGTAGTTCTTGGGGTTTGGTTCATGATACCGAGGGGTGATCTTTGTTCTATAATTAACTTCTCTCTGCTCGGAGAATACATTACGAACTCGCGGCCTGTGGACATGCTACCTGGCCATCCAGTGGTCCATGCAGATCTGTATCTTTTCGGTGGAGCATTCCTTACAATTTACTCTGCTTTTCCTCCGTAGAGTAAGTGGCAGACGGGCTAATTGGTGGAGCCACCCGCGTCGCGCGTGGACTTGTCTGGGCCATGACGAGGTATGACACCATCCGGGGGCAGAACGGCCTGGGTTTTGGTTCAGGGGAGAACAAAGTGATCGATGCCGCGAACGTCATGGTTAGGTAGGTAGGTAGGCTTTGATGGTACTACCCCGGACATTTTCAAGGTTCGAGGGCTGGTTTAGGGTGGACGGGCGGACTCCAGTTGCTGATGTGGCTTGTGGCGGGAGTACTTACGTCATTGCTTTTTGTTGTGGTTTGGCGGGTATATAGTTGGTCTTCTGGACTTTGTTTCTTGCAACTATCATTCTTCTACAACAATCAACTCCAACTATCTACCTATCTTCATCAACCCGATTCTTCAATCCAATTTCTTCAATCTTATACCCCTAGCCTTTTCTCACTCATACATAGAACAATCATCATGTCTGGAATCATTCACAAGGTCAAGGACGCCGTCACCGGTCACCACGAGAAGGATACCACTCAGCAGCCTACCTCTACCTCCTCTCCCGACTCTAAGACTGCCGACAACGGCCCTCATGACTCCAAGCTCATGAACAAGCTTGACCCTCGCGTCAACAGTGAACGTGGTTCGTCCCCCTTCCCCTCGCTCATGATCCTTTGGAATGTACTCATACTAATCGACCCACAGAGGCCCGCCAATCTCAATCTGCTACCGGCGCCTACGGCACCGGCGCTGGTGTCTACGATACCCACTCTAGCACCGGCCCTACTGGTACTACCGGTACCTCTGGCACCTCCGGCTATGGCTCCCACTCCGGCACTGGCACTGGCTACGGTGCTGACAGCACCGGCACCAGTGGCCTGGGCACCAACACCGGTGGCTATGGCTCGTACTCCGGCACTGGCGCTACTACCTCCGGCGGCTTGGGCTCTAGCACCACCGGCACCACCACCGGCCCCGGCTCGTACGGTCACTCCGGCACCACTGGCACGACTGGCGACTACGGCTCTCGCTCCAGCAACGCCGGTCCTCACGACTCGAACCTCATGAACAAGGCTGACCCTCGCGTCGACTCTGACCGCGACAACCGCGCCCGCCACGAGGCCATTGCTGCTGGAGGCTACGGCGACTCCGCCACTGCCGGTCCTCACAAGTCGGACCTCATGAACAAGGCCGATCCTCGCGTTGACTCTGATCGCGACAACCGTGGCCGCCACGAGACTCTTGGTTCGAGCAACTACGGCACCACTGGTACTAGTGGCTATGGCACTACTGGAACCACCGGTACTACCGGCACCACTGGCGACTACGGCTCTTACGGCCACTCCGGAACTACTGGCACCACCACCGGTCCCGGCTCGTATGGTCACTCCAGCACCACTGGCACCACTGGCTACGGCACTTCCTCTAGCAACGCCGGCCCTCACGACTCGAACCTCATGAACAAAGCGGACCCCCGCGTGGACTCTGACCGTGACAACCGCGCGCGCCACGAAGCTATGGCCACGAGCAGCTACAACGCGCCCGGTGGCTACGGCACCACAGGCTCAACTGGCTACGGCGGCTCCGCGACCGCTGGCCCCCACAGCTCGAACGTGCTGAACAAGGCTGATCCTCGCGTGGACTCTGACCTTGATAACCGTGCTACTCTCGGACCTCAGCGTTTCTAGATCGAGTCGATCCGATTGGTCGTTGGGTCTGTTAAAATAGAATGGATGGATAATGGATACCCCCTGGACTAAATTGTTTGATTTGGTACTATCGTGCCTAATTTTTATGGTTGATGGGAAGCGTCTTTCTTCAGTTTGTTTGATTTGTTGTGATGATATCAGGAGAACTTGTATCATAGGATTTTCTTTGTTTTGATGAATAGCGGGATATTCAATTGACTGTTTCTGAAAATATTTTGGTCGCTTGAGTAATTCGTAAAGATATGTAGACTTGGGCAGTAGTGGTTTGCAACTGATAGAGACAGTTGTTAGTCTTATTGATAGTAAAGAGATTAGTAAAGAATTCTTTTCTTATATCTTAGTTATCTTTGTATTGAAGATATCTATTCGGTAAGTACTATTCTAGCACCTATCTCGAGCTCTCGAGGGTTCGTCGCCGTCTTTTTTGATTATTTGAACAGAGTCTCCGAAATAAGAAGTACACAGATGTGATTTCCTTACGAACGTGGACCATGAAGATAGTTTAATTGATTTGTGCTTTTGGCCACTGAATCCAAGGTCTATGCTTTTCATCAAGATGCTGGTAGATTCCAGCCATGGTATGCTCCGGCCATCCCTCTATAAACCAATAGCACGATATATCTTTTAGTAAGACGACGAAAAATGCAAATAATACCAGGGAGAGTGGCCGCTTCTCCTGTAGATCGGCGGTGAAAAGCTCCGGCAGCCGAAAGAGCCAGCCAAAGATGACCTGGACGCGTGCTCCTTTTGGCAAATAGTGCTTTTGGCTTCTTAATGATTGGAAAGCCGAGACTAGATCCTGATAGACTTTACAATACGTCGCATGCCTTGGATCAGATTGCTGAAGCTCATTAAACACTAATTGGCGGATCTGGTCCAGCGGGATCAAGTATTCCGCAGCAGTAGCCACGTATCCCTCAGAGAACGGTGACGATTGCACATCAGAAGATATTGTTGTAGATTCCGCAGCAGGGCGAGATGTCGGACCGGTCTCTGCATGCCTTGTCATTTGCTCTTCCATCTTGAGGATCGACCGAACACCGTGCAGAAGCGTCAAACATTCCCCCTGGCCACTACTGCTGAACGCTAGGTAGTCACCTGGCTGTGGGCCTCTACCTAGCGTGCAGAAGCACATGAATGACGACGCCGCATAGAGTGCATGGTAGGTATTAGGATTCAACCCCGTCACAGATGGTATGAGTTGACGGAGGGCCATAGCAAAATGCCGCTCGGCTCGTTCCACGTAGGATTTAGTGGTACTAGAGATCTGCTGCGGGCAGCGTGTCCGTAAGTGTGCGATGTGGAACCCACTGAATGCCAAAAGAAGACGCAGCACGTAATTGAAAGAGAACCCCAGCTGCGGGAGCTGTGTCTGCAAGAGCTGCTGACCTGCTCCGTCATCGGCCAGGGTCAAAGATGCGGATGACATGTAATGGTGGAATAACTCCATATCCAAGGCGGAAAATTGAAACGGGTAGTCAGCCAAGGCCAATGAGGACCCCTGTCCCAAATGTCCGTACGGAGGATGCAACTGATTTTGTCGATTATGTTTCCTTTTCGGTATCTGGAAGTCGGATAGGGATGAGGAGATGTAGGTGTGCTCATCGTCCTGCGCAGACTGTCCCCAATCGCCTTCAGGTAGGTTTAATGATGGTGAATCCCTACAAACCAATCCACCAACTGCGTAATCGCAGTTCACAGAGTGTCGCAAGCACTGTCCACACATAGGTCTGACTTCGTCGCACTAATTCATACATCAGACAGTGTCATATGGCCTCAGTGCCACATCTTCAGAACCTACCTTGACTCTTCGCTGCTTGCAATTACCACACCCCAACCGCGACTTACGGTGGGGTTTGCGGGAACGTGCGCTGGCATACGCGTTTGGTATAGTAATCATTGTGTTATGTGCTAGGCTACAGACAGGGCGAGTATCCCTTGTCTACCCCTATATATGCAAGAGGCGCTGCAGCTTTGTAAAGGAAAGGAGTGTGGCTGTAGCGTTTCTGAGGGAATGAGATGAGGGAACGGAGGTCGAATGCTGCCTTGTCTTAGGTAATTATCAAAAAGAGAACAGGCGGGAGTTGACTAAGCCGGCACTTCCTTCCTCGCAACTAGTACGTCTTCAGTAAACAAAAGTAAGTTCCAAAAATCTATAAGAATTGAAGGTAGAAAAGGTTTTCTTCATCCCCTGGACGGTTAATGATTTTCATCACCAGTTCGCTCAAATGCCTCGTCTTTGGCAGTCTACCTCTGGCACCTCAAATTCCTACAAAATATAAAACACAAACATCATGGGATCCAAACATGCTGTAAAAATCACGAATATATCCTCAATGCTCGCACAAGTTAAACATCCCGGTTTCAAACTGTTCATTCTGCACCACTGCCACAGAGCTCCTCTCTTCCATCAATCGAAGTCTCTGTTCCTTAGCCTCATCCATACTGATTGGACCACTGTTGATATGATCATTCACCATGGCCTGCAACTCAACCGGCAACCGACTTCCCATCAGCTGATCCATTGCTTCACGCATCTCCCCCCACCACTCCTCGTTCTGCGGCGGGATGTTCGCCGAAGAAATAACGCGGATATGCGGATCCACCAAGAAAAACGCGAGGATCTTGCGATGGCCCCGCTTAGACTTATCGACCAGCGAGAACGGCGACACGCGATGTTGCAGGATATTGGGGAATGTCAGAAGGCGGTTCTCGCGTGTCGATACGCTGCCTAGGGTCTGGGTGACGTTGGTAGTACCATCGCCGGAGTGCGTCTCTGGTGGGAAGCCGAATACCTTGTAGAGGAAGTTGTGCTGGTTCTGGGGGTAGCGGACGTCTTGGATGTCTCCCTCTGCTCGTTGCCGGAAGGATAGATGGCTCTCGGTGATGTTTTCGCTGTCATAGTAGTACAATGCGGTCGCGCAGATGTGCTCGTTCTGTTCGCTGTTAGTGGTCTTGGTTGACTGATGTAACGGAGGGCTCTGGGGTAACTTACCGTGTGGCCCTCGACGTGCCAGGATCCTCCGTCATAGTCCGGACTCTCAGGTGTGAGCTCGATATTCGCCAGCTTGACTACCACTTGCAAACCGTGCCCAGCAAACTGCTCGCGCAGATTGATTACATGTTCCGGTTTAGGATGACGAGGTTTGAACCGGCCCGGTTCAGGAAGCTTGATCGGGGTTGTATTTTCCCATTCGTCGTACATTTCATAGTATTCTTCCATTGCGTCGCTGTCGCCGTCATCCGCAGGCATCTCAGGCTCTGGATCCGGATGATCGAGAAACTTGACGCGCTCGTACGGTATTCGGGGCTTGTCTTCATATTCCACCCTGGTCAATGTCGCGTCCCACAAGGGGATGACTTTCGCGAGAATTTTCTCAATGACTCCATAGAGGGGACGATGTCTCTGAGGATGCAGATTATTGATGTATGATACAATGCGACATCCTTGATCCTCTGTGAACTCCACATCGCAGGGCATCCATTGGAAGTTCCGGCTGTACGGATCGGGCACCGGAGAACCGTGCCGAAAGGGCCGAGGAAAAAGGCCTAGTTCAAGCTCTGTTTGATCTCTCGAGGCCTTCGGAGGTACTGCAAGCTGCTGACCCTGTCCGATGCTGTTCAGACAGTTGTCGACGCCGATCAGGCGATCTGGCAGGATGCGACTACGGCCGTAGATCACGGGGAATAAAGACGGGTGCACCAGATCGACCACCTTGTTGTCTGAGCCAGGGTGGTAGTCTTTCTTCTCCTCGGGGACATCCTCTAAGGGCTGAACGGCCTTCCGCAAGGCCTCTTTCAGCTCTCGGGAAATGGCAGAATCGGATTTCACCACCCCCGATTCGAAGGCCACCACATGGCCAGTTTCGCGGTACAAATCGGCCTTCCATCGGAGTTCGGCGATGATCCAATCCATCATGTTGGGGGTGATATCCTGGCCACTGGCAGCGACCTTGTCTCGCCATTTCGTGATAATCTGGTCGTCGAAAACCTGAGAGGTGGCTTCGTGAGCTGGCATGACCTTATCTGAGGGACGTACGGCAGGTAACCTTTCGTTCCCATTCAGGTTTATCCGTGATGCTGTTCATCACTTGCATCATGAGGATTTCTCGGTGCACATATGCCCGACTGGGCTCGATCAGTTAGCACACTCCTTTTGCCTCAGAAAAAACAACTATTAATACCTCGTCCTTCCATATTCAACATCCTCCTCATGTAGCGCGTTGGGGAATAACAATGGGGTATCGTGTGGTGTGCGCGGAGCGAAATCCAGGGGCAAATTAAAGCCCGGTAGGTCGAAGCGCGTGTTCTGAGTCGCCATTTTGCGGGTCGTTGTTCTCAGAAGATTGAGATTTGAAGCTGATGTTGTCTTCCTTATCAAGGCGGAGTTTAGGCAGCAGGTCGGTGCTGGTGCCTGCAGATGCCTGCAGGTGCCTGAGGCTAGTGCATAGTCCGTTCGGCTGCCTGCTTAGGTCTACAACTGCACATCGTTCACTCGACTCTCTGATACTGTGGCTGACTAGCGTTTATCAGGGCCGTTATGGTCCGACTGCTAGATCCAGTCTCCTATATCGGATGATGATCATGATAGCGACCTAATGTGCATTAAGATGCGATCTGTCCCAGATCTCGAGAGCATGATTGCTAGAATACGCCTTATGCTTTTCCGTGACCAACATGGTCACGATGCACTTGGTGCATTATGCCGCCATTCCTGCGACTCAAAAGTCTCTTTGTCTAGTGGGTAATGGAACACTGAAGCCATGGCCGCACGCAACCAACGTTATCGCCGAATTCCTACCGCAGTTACGCTTCTGAATCCAAGCCTGACAACAGCTTGCCGCCTCGAATAAATCCTTCGACTATTTCCTTTGATTATCTCGGACCTCAATAGCATTCACTGCTCGCTGTTACATGCACCGATGACCTAACCTTTCGATAGAAAGACAAATGGCCTCGGCGGTGTCTATAACATAGGCCCATGCGCCCCAACGGCCAGACTCCATCGGAAAGCACCTCTGCCGGGGGCCTAGTTGGCCACCCAGATGTGCAAGTCAGTGACAAACGGGATGCCGAGTGTGTTGGCAGTGTGCCCAAGGCCAGTTGCGGTCAGCTACTGAAACGATGGGGCGGGCAATCTGGACATTGCACTCACTTGGGACTTATGAGGAAATGGCACCTCTGATACCGAGGTAACGAACTCTAGACGCCCCGTTTCATTCGGTCTAAGAACAGACGATAAAAGCCATAGTTAGCCGCCGGAGCAAGCAGGACTAGGCTGCTTTCATTGGGTCTATACCAAGCGGAGGTATGCCCAAGCCAAGCCCAATCTCGTATCTGCTAAAATAGACCTCGCCAAGGCAATTAACTCGATCAGATCAGGCTGCATTATATTGTTCATTCATAATATGAAGACAGTCCTGTCACCAAAACGTTTCTTTAGCCTCAACACTCCAGTCCAGAAATCCGAATATCAACCAAACCAGCAAAATGAAGCTCTACAGCCCTATATCACCCACCAGACCATCATCAACATTCCTAACAAACATACCTTCCATCCTCCTCCTCTCATCCATCCTACTCCACCCCATAAACGCCCTCACCTACCCCACAACCATCGAAATCGACCTCCTCTTCCCCCTCCCCAACAAAGCCTACCACAACATGACCTCCTTCCCAGTCATCTTCGCCCTCCAGAACGTCCCCGCGGCCAACGAATACGGCTACACGATATCCTGGGATCTGCGATCCGAATCCTCAACCGATAACTCGACCGTCGCTCTCGGCACGATTTATAAAATGACGTATCGCAATAACTCGGACTCTGAGTTTCTTTTCGATGACGGGCAGATTGCCATCCTCCCTGACACCGTGTATCAAGGGACTCGGCTGAAGCGCGGAACATATGCCCTGAACTGGAAGTATAGTATGGTGACGTGTTTGATGATCGGGGATCGCACGCAGTATAATATCGGACGGACGCAGGCGTCAAATACGCATTCTTTTCGGATTGAGGAGAAGTCTGGAGATGAGATGAAGGAGGAAGATGTGGATTTGGGATTAGATGTCTCATGTCCTGTATTTGGCGATTCAATTGTCGTGAGAGATGCGACGAAAGGTGGATGTCCGATTATGGCGGGGTCTAAGGTTAAGGATGAAGAAGAGGAGAAGAAGGATCCGTGTCGAGCGAAGTTGAATGCTAAGCAGGCGAGCTGTATTCAAGGGAACGTTGCGGGGAGGTATAATGACAGTATGTGTAGGGAAGCGTTTGGGTCTGGGGGGAATGGCAAGGGGAGGGAGAATGGGGCAGATGGGATGGTCGTGATGAGGTCGGGGATGTTTGCACTGGGAGTTGTGGGTTTAGCTGGGGCGTTTTTGCTGTTATAGTTTATAGTTAGACAGGCACAACACGTCAAATAGTCATTCCCTATCGGGTTAAATGAAGGATGGACATTGTCCTAGTTCCAGGGCTCGTCGCCCGGATGCGACCCCTTTTCTGCTTGACCGCACCGAGCTCTAGGTGTCTAGTGTTGAGTATGATGTGTATAGCCGAGCATGAGCTCGGGCACTTCATGACACGAATAAATAAATTTAAAGATTTGAGAATGTGTCTTGGGCTGCTATGAGAAACCTCGTAATTGTGCAAGCATCCTTCTTCCCACAAGCAATGTGAATATTGACAGGCCAGCCGCCCCAATGATAGTCGTGACTGTGTGACCTCTCATGGAGTTTTTGATAGATTGCGCAAATCGGATGACATTTGATTGGGCAGTGGGAGGATGTAGGCATGCATCAACATTATCCAGTGTCTGCAAAAGATCATGGGCAGTCCGAAACTGTCCGTCCCAACAACCTTCAATGATCGAACCCAGCCAGACATTCTTCGTGTCGGGTAGAAGGTTCCTCTTTGGCCAGTAGACTCGGCCGTCCGTGGGAGAATTGTCTTTGAAGAGGTCGATTTCAACCTTGTTGCCCGTCACAATCTCATAAATGACTGCTCCGAGCAGGCCAATGTCAATTTGGGTGGTGAACCCATTTTCATCCACGGTTTCTATATTAGACCCTAACAGAAGGAGAGACGCCTCTGAGAAATCGCAAAACCTGAGGGCTAAATCTGAATCAAGAAGGAAGTTTCGACTTGCAATATCTGCGACAAGTACACATCTGTCATGGATAAGTTGAAGCTGAGGAGAAGGTCGGGACTTCTTGAGATAAGAACGGAGATCGCCATTAGGCATATAAGCAAGTTGAGTAGGTTCACTTGACATCTCAAGACAGCGAACGACTCCATTTGAGCGGTCATCATCCAAGCTTTTCAAACGATAATAGACGGACTGTTCGCGCCTAAGACTTTCTATGTTCATTTCAATCTCGAACGGCTTGCTCCAAAGGCACCGTAAAGGGGATTTGACAGCGACACCATCTTGAAGTAAGACTAACGCTGAGTTTCCACTTACTAGAACCCGCTCGGGTTCCCTTGGAGGTCGAGGAAGGGTGTGGCCATAGCGACAGGAGTGAAAGATAGTTGGATCGATCACAAACCGATCCAAGGGGCCACGGATTCTTGCATAGATACATGGTTTGATACCACGTGACCGTACTGCTGTAATGACATCCTCCTTTTCTCGCTTCACCGATCTTTGCCCTGCCGACGATATGATCTCACTTCAGACCCAGATGCGCAGAGCGGTTCTGGCTGCGCTTAAACGAGCTACTTTGCGACGTGGAAGTGACGGGGTCACAAATACTGCCCCTTTGTTCGGCCGGGACACACCACTGAATATGGCCTTCGGTGGGATCAAAGTTGATGCAATTTCCCTGGGCTTTTCCCTTACAGGCGGGGGTTTTTCACGACCCGCCTTGGCTTTAAACCCACCATCCCCCATTGCCTTTCAGAAGTAACGCTCCCCTGAGAAGGGTCCTCAATTATCCAACTTTTCTTTCTCTCCACGATCCCAAGTATTATTCGCGCTGAATGGTCCGATGGCGTCTTCGCGCAATGTCGAAACCGTCGGTTCTTTCTCTCAGGAGCAGATTCTCGGCATTGGAAGAACAGGTTTAGTTGTCCGTCAAGGGGAAAATGACATCAAGCTACCTCTCAGGTGGAGTACAACCAGCTATGAAGAGATTGAAGCAAACATCGAATCCCTTCAACACGAACAATCCATATACAAGCGCCTGGGAAAGTGTGACGGCATCGTTCCTATCCTAAGTTTCGCGGAGACAGCCACCACACTTCGCGTGATGGAAAACGGCGATCTACGTTCTTATTTGAAGCAAAATAGGCCGCCGAGATATCTCTAGCTTTCGTGGTTTCGGGCAATGGCTCGCACGCTTGCACATGTGCACGAGCGACGGATTATTGTGGCAGATATTGCCAGCCGTAACTTTCTGCTCGACTCGGGTTTATCAATCAAACTATGTGACTTTACAGAGTCCATCAAACTGCCTCTTAATACGTGTATGGAAAAGGCTGACTTTGGAGGTTACTCTATACGGACTGATATTGGGCAGCTGAGGTCTGTGATGTACGAGGTCGTTGTTGGGGAAAAATGCGGATTTAATATCTTTAAAGATATGCCCCCAGAACTAAGTCGAGGTAGATGGCCTCGAAGGGAGGATCTTCCTAGTACGCAGGGTGTCTGGCTTGGTTCGATAATTGACAAATGTTAGACTGAAGGCGCATTCAACACCGCTATCGATCTATGTCAAGAGCTGGAAAATGCCGGGGTCGTGAACGAGCCAAATGAGATGTTGTCGCCATCCAGCAACTTGCTATCAATGGTCCAGCGGGCCACGGCGTCATACCGTCAACACAGCTTTTGCTATACAATGGCTCTGGCGATAACGCTTGGTGCAGTTGCGATTTCTTGGAGTTGGAGGCGTAATTGAGGACTATGTTTCGCACATCACAACATAACCAAAAGGCAGGCGCGACTAAACTAAACTAGGAGAGCCGGGCAAAAGTCGCCACCACCAAGCCCTAATCATGAGACCGGCCGGCAACAAATGGAAGCATTATCCCATATGACGAAGAACCTGAGGGCCTACCCCATATAGAGGAAGGCAAAAGCGCATGGATTGCTGGAGGTCGAAAAAAAGAATTAGTGTGTCTTCGGGTGTGCCATATGCAGTGGGCTCCGGGACTCCACTGGGATGAGAATTGTTGACTAATAAATCTCATGCAATATCAAACGCGAAATTTTAGTGCCTGACACCGCCGCACCAATTTCTGACATCGCGCCAACTGCGACCCTGTCCGAAAGGCCGCGGGTGATAACTAGATTCTTCCATATTAATAATTACCTAGCCGCCCCCTTCCAATTTTCAAACGTCACTCTCCCAATTGTTTTCCTTCTATACGGTACTATCCACCAATACTTATTATTGATCTATACCACAACCCAACCCAGCCATTCTGTCCAAAACCATAGAACAAGTGTGAATCCTCAAAAATATAGGTTAAAAAAATGGCCCAAATCTACTACACCCGCCCAACACCCCTCCTCACGACATTCACAATCATCACGGTCCTATTCGGCCTCAGTGCATTGATAGCCTGGATGATACTCGGCCTTCAGAACACGGCCGGAATTGCCCTATTCGCCATCAGCTCTTTAGCGCATTGCATGAACCTGCTACTGGATCCGGAGACGACGTATAAGACGACGCGCGTATTGGAGGATGGCACGACTGTGCGGGTGAAGAGGCCGTTGGTTGGGTTCAAGGCGAATGAGACGGAGGTGGGAGTCACCGGGGGGTATGAGGTGAGGGTGGATGGGTGGAGGTACGAGCATGCTCTTGTTAGATTGTGAATGCTCCCCCTTCAGAGAGACTTTGGGATATAAGATGGATAAGAGAGGGGCTGGTCAAATTGGAACGCTCTTGTGCATTATTATAGAATCTGTCATGACATATATGGTCTGGTATCATCTTGTTGGACATATGCAATAAAATCAAAAAGCAAAGCAAAATCAAAATCAATAATCCACCCAAAAGTCCGGCTTCATGGTGTACAGAAAGAAGTGAAACGCATAGCTAGATCAACAGAAAGTAACCCTGTAGATAAAGCAGCAGATATATAGCGCCGATACATGCTTCAAAATGCAAAGACAAATATCATATCATAACCAGTCTGTTCTTTTGTCTGACGGTCGGGTCATTAATTAGCGTATTGGGCAGGTAAATCGCAATAAGATCATTCATAAATCATCATTGTCATCATGAGACGTTTCGTGGTCATCTCCAACAAGAACAATCAATCAAATCAAACACTTGCGGTTCTTCGTTTCTCGCTCGGTTTCTGAGCGTAGGCGATTAACAACCGGAATCCGGTACCTCGCCTTTGACATTCGCGGACAACTTTCCGATCGGCCCAGATGCTAAGATCGGCGTCGCCGTTCGGGAGAACTGGGATTTCGTAACATCGGGTGTACCACCAGCGACCGACCTTGGCCACGATCTTGCGGATGGATTCATCGTTGGAAGGAGAAGGGGAGGGATCCGACAGCAGGTCTCCCAGTGAGAGGTCAGTGTCGTTGGAGGAGGACTTTCCATGAGCCTTGGACTGTGCGCTCATGGATGATGTCGAGGGCCCAGAGAAGACGGTGAATGGAGTGGTAGTAGTAGCCATTGTGGACGGATTCGACGAGGCTGTCGATGACGAGGAGGCGGATGATCGGACGATAATCCCCGCGGTCGGGATCCGTACTATACATCGTCTCAGGCTATCAAACCCATTCTGACCTAACATCCGTTGAATGCTATCGCTGGCAGGTTTTAGGCTGATGTTGGGGTCGGTGAGATACGTCCTCTCCTTTAACTGCCGTACAGCCTTTCGCGTCCGGATACCCATGTTGACCATGTCTAGATCGAGCACGCTCATCTCGATATAGCCACCGGGGCGGAGCACACGCTTGCATTCCGAAACTATTTTATTCTGGGCGGACTCGGAACAAGCAGCAGGGAATCGCAATACTGTCACTGTGAATGTCCCTTTTGGGAATGGAAACCGGTCTTCAAGGCTCGCGTGATGGATGGTATGATGGTTAGAAGGTGGCTGCCAGGCGGCAGGATGCTTGAAGGCAGTGGATGCTGGTCCATCGGTCAGGCAGTGCACATCTGCGTTCGGGTATGTGAGAGCACAGTAAAAGGACCAGTCATCATTTCCGAGGCCGTCCACAACCAAGATCCGCTCGTCTTCTCCATCCTTGACGTGATTGTGAGCAGGACTGAACAGAACCCTCCCGAAAGACAACCATCGACTGGTCATCAGTGATCCCGATCGAATGTTTGTCTGCGCCGTAGGCCCTTCTCGATCCCGCTCGGCAATATCAAACAAGACCGTGTTCCGTTGTCGGCATGTCTCAAAGCTCGGAGATGGGTTTAGGGGAGAGCTAAGGTAGAGAGAGTTCTGATCCATGGGTGCAATGGCTTGGTCGATCTGATCAGGCGGTTCATTCTCAGGCCGATCATCGCAGTATGCCTTGATAATATCACTGAATGAAGGCTGCGAAGACGGGGCAATGGACGAATGCAAAGCAGACACGATCCTGGAGCGCCGAAGGTGAACCGATCCATTGCTTGACTGAGGCGATGCCGGAATAAGGGCCAAAGCCGGGTTCTCGATCAAAGACGAGCGCACACGCTTATCTGCTTGGCCATTCAGTTCAGCTTGAAGCGCTCTACTGGCCATGGTTGCCATTTCAAGCTTTCCTTCCACTTCGTCTTCACCAGGAGAAACGGACCTCGTAGTCTCGGGAGATAGGACATGGTCAAGCAGGTCATCATACTCCCCCCATACCTCATCCTCATTCAACTCTGACCCTGGGTTTGGTATCACAGCCGTTACTGCCGCCAAATTCTCCGATCCGCTGGAAGTTGAAACCATCGAGTCATTGCCAGGAGAAAATGCGAGAAATTCGTGTTTCGAGTACGGTCCGGCAATAAAGTCGAGGATGCTTTGCGTCGTCGGATCTCCAAACGGTTGCGTCAGGTCAAAAGCAGGGTTGTGCCGATCACGCGGAGGGCTGCGTTCGGGTGTAGGACGAGGTGGTGAGAATTCCGCTGGTCTGTCCACTAATGCCGTTAGGGAAGGTGACTCGGTCACACTGAATGGCCTTGAGAAGGACTGAAAGGCGGGTTTGTGCTGTCTTTCCCTTCTGGAGACCACACGTGGGATGCGTCCGACCGAAGCCAGTCTACTTGTGCGTTTTTCCGGCGCTTGCTCTTTGCTTTGCGTAGGCTCCACCGGCTCCTGGGGATTTAGATCAAATGGATTCCTGGTAAAATAAACTCTGGGTGAAGGTGGGCCGTTCCTGACAAATTCACCTTGTAATTTCGGTGGCGAAGGGAGAAGAACAGATGGGCTTGGCTTCCTGATATTCAAAGCTGCCGGGATCTCAACCGGAGAATTCATCCCGTCATCCTCCGTCGGAGGCGAGTCCTCGATGTTGTGGATAATATCTTCCAAGGGGTCTGAATCCGTGTCCACAAATGCGTAGTGTGCAATCGGCCGGCGAGATTTGTCAGTGGATACTGCAGCTTGCAGTTGAGGTACAGAAGCCAGCGGCTCCGGTTCCTTGTGTGCGGTGCTGTCGTTGCTTCGATGGAAGAAGTTCCACTTCAAACCTAGACCTTTTTTCGGGGACTTTTTCTCTTGTTTCTTAGGACTTTTCGCCACCTTGGCTTCTGGTGAGGATGGATTCACCGTATTTGCCTGAGACTTTTCTTGTGCGGTGATCTCGGCCAGCGATGGTTTGCGCTCCGAATTCGACCCTGAACCACCAGTGCTAGAGAAGCTTGAAGAGCCACCACGAGCGACTTGACTCTGGTAGAGTTCCCCTTGTGAGTTATTTCTTCGGTAGCTTCCTCGGGCGTTTTCCACGGTCCCTGTCGAAGTAGCTAGCGAATCTGTGGAGTAACCAGGTGATCGCGATGGCTTAGATCGCGGCGCCAAGTTCATTGTAGACGTGGTGCTGAGGCCGCTTGAACTCTGTTCGCTCTGCGTTCGTATCAGGGCTGCCCCATCAATGCCGCCACCCGGTATGATCACGGGTTCCAAGCGGTCAAGCAAAAAGTCATCCAACCCCAGATCGGATCGACCTCTGTCACTCCCTTTACTGCTAGAAACAGACTTGGACGCGCTTCTGGTCGTGCTAGTCGATCTATCCCGAGTCCCACCATTGCTGCTGATACTTGTCTTGCGTCCACGCTGTCCATATCTGCCGTATCCCTCATGACCAGTCCCAGCAACTGGTCCCTTGCGGGTGGGGCGAGACTCGTCCAATTGTTTTGAGTCAAGCTCTGGCTTAGACTTCTTGGAAAAGAGTCCAAATCGGCGAGCTCTCCCTGGGCTAACAGGATTTTGAGGTGTTATGGATTCTTTCGCTGCTTTCTGGGGTGGCTTGCGGGACAGTTCCGGTGATGGTGGCAAGCGCGACGGAATTCGGGAAAACGTCCTAGAATGTAATGAATCCACGGAGGTGGCGGCAGACTGGTTGACTGATAATGGAGACTTGTCAATGGCTAGTGAGCTTTCCACAGATCCGCGTCGTTTATTCCCGGTCACCGTCTCAGGGGATAGGTTGCTTTGAACTATGGGTGATGGTTCCATTTCCAGTTGGTGGGTTCCATCTCTGCTTGGTCTCCGCGGCACTTGTGTCGTGTTTAGTGACAGCCCTCCAGTCCCTCTCCTTAACGGTCCATGTGGCTCGGCTTTGGTCAGCGTCGGTTCGGGTGCGTTGCGACTTGATTCAGTCAGCCCGTTAGACTTTCTGGGGAGGTTAGATTTGATCGATGTCCTGCGTTGAACAATTCCACTGCCAGTAGTTGGAACCCTCCCAGTATCAGGTTCTGTCGGTGGGTCTTTTTGTTCGGGTTTGGCCAACGAAGTGGTTGAGTCTGCCCCTTGGGTCGGGATCAATGACCTGAACTCTCCGGAGCTCATTGGGTTACTCGGTGATGGGGTCTGCTGTATCCGAGGAGAAAAAGAAGGGAGCCTTGTTTGAGGTGGGCTCGGCTGTCTCAACCGGGAACCAAATTTGACCGGTTGGACAATTCCCGGGGAGTACGAGGACAGCGAAGTCGGGGTCGAAGTCCGGCTCCATATTCCAGGAGACCCAGAGTACCTGGTCGAGGGGCTGCTTGCGGAGGCAAACCCTGGTGTCGGTGGCGGTAGGTTTTGTGTGTTTATCGTGGTTCGAAGGCTAGCAAGCTCTTTAGGGCCGTGAGATACGTTGTCCGGAGTACTGCTCACATTCCTCCCTCGAACGGCGGACGGGGGTGAAGGTAGGTGATTCCACTGCGCCGGACTGTCAAAGAACTGAGGAGAGCTCATGATGTTATTGCTAGACTGAGCATTGTCTGGAATCATTACATTCAGACTTTCGGGTTTAGTGCCTTGCATGGCGGCCGGTTGCTTTTTTGCCGTATATTGTCCAATTGTAGGAGCTTTCCTTCGGAGGACGTTCCGTGGGCGACTGCGGGCGGAATTTGGCAGACTATTATCCGAGGAAATTGACACTGAATACGAGGTTTGCGACAAGCCCAGGCTGGTGTTTATACCAGGGGACACAGCAGATCCCGACGGCAATGGCAGGGGATGCGTAGTCGCCCTCGGGGGCAAGAAAGTTCGAAGACCCTGACCAGATGGTATTCTGGAAGGATTTGAGTGCGCTCCTAACTGGCCCTTCTCAGACACGGACAAGGAGGGTAGTCTGCTAGGCCTATTAGAAGGGACTGAGGGATCAATGTGAGGCCTTGGCGGCACAGGAAGGCCCGTTTGCTTTGCCGCTACAGTAATCATCGGCGATGACACGCTTCGTGGTTGAGATGCAACACCCCTAAGCCGGGGTATTCGACCGCCATCAGACTTGTGCGACGACATGGTGTTACCTGACGGCCGTCGGTATTTCCAGTCCGAAGACTATGTATGCAGCGGAGGTTGAAAAAGTAATATGGGTTTGGAACCATCCCGTCCTTAATGGAGAAATTCCAAGCGACTGTGTCCATGAGCTGAGGCCCAAGCTAAAGGCAGGATGTATAGTAGCAACATTACTCACCTTTAACTCATACTTATGATGAGTCGAAAGACGACCAGGAGACTCCAGGTACCATCATATGATTGCGACAAGAGGCAGGAGACAAATAAGAAAAAGTCCGTATGAACGGCGGAATATCTAGTTCAATGGTGGAACGGCATTAAAAAGAAAAACGGAAATCAAGCAGCGTGAGCCGAAGCAGTTTATCGAAGATGACCAATTTCTCTAATCCTGGAACTGAGTGAAAGCCGGGAAAAAAAGAAAAGAAAGAAAGATCAACGGCAATGAATTGATTATGAGGTCGCTTATTTTTGAGCCAAAAAAGGATATGAATAAGATGCACCCGCTCCGCCACAGTATGGGGTCACCGTCCACGGTGGCTAAAAACGCCAAAAGAGTGTTAAGCTGGGTCTGTACGACCACGTCAGAGATAACCTAAAAACCGGATCATGTACGAAAAAGAGAGAGAAAAGAAAAACAGAAACCAGCTGCAGGGAGAAATCGAAGAATAGAGAAAGAAGAGAGGGGGGAAAGGAGGGAAATGGTTCACGCATTAGCATTGAGCTGACCAGGATAGATCTGGACTTTTTCAAGGCCGAGGATTGCCAGCGCTAAAAACTCTGACCCCGTTGCGACGACTCCGTGTAGTGGGGGAGCGCAGTGCCTATTCGTAGGTTAAACGGTCCATATAGAGACCGTAACGAGAAATCCTGGCGCGGTTTGTGCGATCGACGTCGGGTCCCCAGGTGAAAACCGATGTGACCGGAAAGATCATTGGCGCAAGAACAGCCGCTTGTCCTGCTCGTTATCAATAGCATGAAGCGTGGGGATAAAGCAAATAGAAACAAAAATAACCAGACCCAGGATCGCCAAGTGCACAAGGTACGAAGTAGTCGCAATTAGCGTTGAGCGTCCAGGGTCGTGACTCTTGACCCTGACTGGATTGAAGGTGACAGGATCGTGCGCGGCGAAAAGCAGAGGAATGGAGTCGCTAAAGCGCCCCACTTTGACGGGACAGTTTGTTTGCTCCTGACTGGTAAGGTCCAGTATACTCCGGAGTGGCTTGGGGCGAGGAGGCAATTGACAGGTTACAAGACCAGTCAGTGGCGTGAGATAGCGGGAAGTCCGTCGTGGACAGAATCGACCACTGGCGCAGGACCTGGAAGGACGAGGGGGAATCGGGAAAATGGAAAATGAATCACCGATGATGGCAGATGCAGGCATCAGTTAGAATGAAAATAAAAATAACCATCACAATCAAACCATGGGTGGTAGTGGGTAGCTCCTGCAGCAGGGCACAGCTAGGGGGAAGATGTGATCGGACAATTTTCCACGGCCGGGCGCCAGTCAGCCCAAGTCAGGTGGTGGTCACTGACTGCCGCCTGCCGATCCTCTCCGGCGAGTCCGACTTGACCTTGTCTACACTCTACACAGGTGTATTTCATACGCTGTGAAAAGCCAAAACAACCTGGAAGGTTCGCCCCGAACCATTATTGAACCAGACATTGAGCAACGTTCAAGGGTCACTGTCACTGTCACTGACCCCCTCGCGGAACCACGGATTGATCCTTGATCCACTTGTCGCAATAGACGGCGGTTTGTGAAATGAGAACGGTTCAACAATCGATGGACCAGTCACCATGCTCCAAGACCATATGGTATACAACAGCTGAGGCCTAGGACGGTATGGTGGAGCCGTGAGGAATCCCCTATCTACTCCGGAGTACATACGCCGTACGGAGGATGGATTCAATCTGAGCCCGGGAGGTGTGGAGTCGCTGAGCCGTGGGTCTTTGATCCGCCGCTAAGTGGACGATGAGGTCCAGAGGCGTCGATGATTGACCGACGCACACGGTGAGTTTGACGGCCAGGCGCGGGGCGACATGGGCTTTCTATCCGCCCGGTTTAGCACGGGCAAAGATGGTCACCTCGGGGCCCGGATTCGTCAGAGAAAAAAGCAATGGCCCTTTCGTGATACCGCTGATACGGTGTCACTGGTGATCCTGGTGGAGGAGGGCGGTTAAAAGAAGAATATTGAATAAAAATCTCAGCACGGCATCAGCAGGCGCGTCTCGTCTACATAACACGATCACTGTGCCGCTGCGAGTCTCGGAACAAAGTCTAGACACGATCCCGCCGATGCTGACAAGATGCCAATCACGGATTGACCTACAAAGACCGAATTGTTGGTCACCTCTAGACAAGCGGATTGGTCCGGGGTCGTCTAGCATAAAACCGCGAACAGACTGGCCTCGCAGAACCGAGTGCGAGGAGGTAAAAGTAGACAGATCTCTGCACCCGCAAGTGATTGTTGAATGTCGATCAGATCCGATCGGGGAAATCCCTCGAGCACGCCAAAGTCTGTGGGATTTTTCGCGCGACCGGGCGCTGGTTTGCTGCAGGAACCAAATTTCAGCTGGCCGTGTCCTTCCACGAGGCCGCTGTCATGGTGGTGACACCGTCATACCAGGCCACGCCATGGTTTGTCTGCAAGCGTTCAAGTATTTCTTTTTTTCTTTTTTCTGGTGAAAGAAAAAGAAAAGGACCAGTTATTGATGACTGCATATCTGTGTGACTTACTCGGTTCTTTGTCCAGATTCAGATATATCCGGTCAGATTTTTGATCGCCCTAGTTGCCAAATTTTTACCAGCATCCCCCTGGTTGCCTATGCATACGCTGATTCCAGAAGACGTCAAATTTTAAGCCAGACTACAGTACATTCAGATCTTCCACTCGGGGGCTTTGATATGGTCGCAATGGATATTCGAATGCAACGGTAGATTTCCCATAAAACGCAGAAAACGCCAATAACTCGTGATACAAGACAAGAGATCAATTAGAAAAAGAGAAGACAAAATGATGGTGATGACACAATAGGACATAGAGAACCCCCTCGACTAGATTACTCGGTGGCGAAGCGCTTCTTTCTCGCTTCCATGGCGGCTTTGTCCTTTTCACTCAACCCGCTGGCGTTGTTTGGGTGAGGTCTTTGTCCCCGGTGGTTGTCAGATCCGCGACCACCGCGACCACGACCACCTCGCCCGCCGCGACCAGGACCACGTCCACCGCGGCCTCCACGGCCGTGGAAATGACCGCGACCCCGGAAGTGGCCCCGGCCGCCAAAGTGACGCTTCCTGTCTCCGCGCTCTCCCTGGTCGTTCTCGGCGCGATCCCTCTTGCGGGGGTTCTCGCTAGGGAGCGCTACATCCAACTTCTCGACTCCAGCACCCGCCTTATCCCCGCCTTCAGTACCGAAGCGCTTAGCCCGCTCGAGTTTCTTCTCTGCATCGGCGACGGCGGCCTTCGTCTCCTCCGTAATACCGAATTTCTCCGCGCGAGCCTTGCGCTTCTTCAGCTCCTCCTCCAATTCCGTAGTAGCAAGGCCAATGGAGTAGTCGACGACCGGCTTTTCCTCCGCAGGTTGAGCGGTCTCGGATGAGTCGGCGGGCTCTGCCTCGGTGCCTTCCTGCGCAGGAGCATCACCCTTGGGTTCGCCCTGGGATTCGACCTTCAGATCATCGGTAGTAGCGGGATCGATGTCCTGTTTCTGGTTGGGGACGGCGACAGGGTTCGATACCGGGCCCTTACCACCAGCAGCGATGGTCGCAGCGCCGGCCTCGGTGGTGGGCTTCGCGGCCGCATCGGCAGCGGGCTCGTCGTCATCCTCCCAGTCGATCACGTCCTCCGCATCGGCTTTAGCGGCCGGCGCAGACTCGGCAGGTTGGGTCTTCGCATCATCGTCCTGGATGCGCGAAACCAGCTCCGCCTTCTTGCCAGTGTGCGGAAGCGAGCGAGACTTGAGGATCTCCACCAGCTCGGCGTTGGTCTTCTTGCTGTAGTCGGTAGTCATGTTGCTGGGTATGATCAAGGAGCAAAGAGGTGGTATCAATTGCAAACGAAGAAAGTAGACGGATTTCGAGGAAAGGAAGGAAGACACAGGGAGGGATCGAGTCGTTTAAAGATATCTCGCAACGAGACAAAGGGCGAGGATGGGAGGTTTCGGACTCGAGGATTCGGAGCTTCAAAGGAGGACAAAGGAAGTCGTGTTTCGGCTATTTTTGATGGTATTCAACTTAGAAGATCATGCGCATTATGCGCCGGGTTGAAAGAATGTTGAAAGGATGGAGGAGAGTATGAAATTCAGGTGGAAGAAACAAGGTGTTCCAGATCGTAGGTGAGGCGGACGCGTTCACGCGGCGGCGCAGCGACAGGCCGGCCGCTGAGATTGCCCGATCGGGAAAGATAAAATCACGTGTGGCACGTGACTGCATAAGATGGCATTGTGACTCAGCGTGGGATAATGCAGCACTAATCAACTCGGTGAATGCCAAGCAAAACACAGAAAACATTTGTAATAATAATAATAACGATAACAGTGTCACTATCAAAAATTGACATAAAAAATCAAAATCAATGTTTGATGAATTAATGGAAAAACACCACTGCTAGCTACTACGGAGTAATGCGCCACACAAGCCAGCCTGCTTCCACCGGAGGCTGTAGCCGCCACCCAGGTAGAAAGATTCCCCTTTCTTTCTGTCGCCTGGAATACAGAGCTCCCAACAAACCAAACCAAACCACATCATTCCCTCCTTGCGTCCTGTCACCAGCTTGACAGCGCGATCGTCAAGGGCATTCCTGGTAGCAGATCATTTGCTCGGACCCAAAGTCAAAAATGCCTGGAGCTTGTCGGAGCTTCCGGCATGTTGACAGCTGAAAAGACGGCAAGCTTGATGACATGGCAGTCCGGGTGTGGCTGTGGCGAATCTTCCTAAATCACCAACGCATGCACTGCGCCATATCTAGGTCATGTGATTGCGATCTATACGAGCTGGACTAACTGTCAACGACAGGCAACAGTTCGGTAGTCATTCGGTGGATGATGATAGGCGAGGCAATGGCATTCATTGTTTGATTCGCTGCTATTATCCTGATCTATCTGAGGAGAAATTCGACCCTGAAATTTATCGTTTAGTCACGTCTTCTACAGTTTCTGGGTAAAAAAGAGCCTTGTCCTCAGCTGTCCGGTAAATCGAGCATGGAGTAATAGGAATGTGGCTAGCAGGATGATGGCGGGCATAAGGGTCTTGCGTAAACCTGATAACATGATGCGCTGCTTGATTCTGGCTCGATTTTCGGGTATCACATTATAACTATGCCCTGTCAACGTGGTCGGAATTGACATCTTCCTTGGTTTTCTCTTGTTACGTGGATGACCAGGGCATTGCCACCCCGCGTATGATATGCTTGGCCAACGGCCAATGCCAGATTCGCCCGGGCTACACGGAACCGGTTCGTCTGAGTGAATGCATGAGGCTTGTGTTATCTCGGTGAATACATGAGTGGACTTGTGTTGCTTGAGTCTCTTGAATCCAAAACAGACTTAGGGAGATTGATGGTCTTTCAGCAAAACTAGAACAGGTTGAGCTATTGCTTCTGTTGCCTGAAAGAGACTTAAAGGACAGGAGCAACCTCTACGCTAGTGGACCATACAAGAAACATTCATTGACACAAGGTTTGAAGTTGTAACAAACTAAATCTCTACCTCGTTAGCTCTTTCAATTCCGTTAGGGCTAATTGGTGTAGTCTATCTCTTTGTGAGTTTGAGGATTGGATTGGATATCAAGCTAATAGTATGCGATATCAGTGGTAGAATCCATGGCGAAAGTGGAATGCTTATGACTCGGGATCAAATAATGAATGCATGTACATCACAAGTCACCCCGTCCTCGTCCGATTAAGGCTCGGAAATTACGGATTCATGCCTACGAGTACATACGCAGCAATACTCAGTTTTAAATAGATTCCAAGAGATCTCAATTCATTCATTCATAAGAACTAAGCATGTAAGGGCTTTCGTGCCATGCTTGGAATAATGAAATGACGAACAAGAAGTAACCACCAAATGTTAAGAAGACTCCAATTCACAATAAGAAGTAGCCTTTCCACACATGCTCAGTCGAGGTCATGGGGAATTCTAAACGAAAAGATAAAACAAGGTACAAGGTATCAGAGGAGAGTCAAAGCAGCCTAAGCACCATAGAACCAATATTCCGCCGCATAGTCAATCACGAACGCAGGGAGCTGGCCCTTGCAGCTGGCAGGAGCCTTTCCACCAGCAGTGTAGACGCGATAAACATCCTAGTCATCGTTAATAATCTGATCATATAGGATGTAGACTAAGGAGACTTACATGAAGACCACTCGAATTGGTAGCGTCAAGCTTCAACCAAGGCACGTCCTCGCCCTTGGTAGGTGCATCCGCACTGGCGACTTTCTTTGTGCCAATCCAGTCGGGATATCCGCCCAATCGCAGATCAAAGAATGGAGTCTTTCCATCGAAATAGTGCTCACCCAGCACCAGGGTATCGGTAGATGAGTGGATCACACGGCCCAAGACCGCATTGACGAAGTTGAGCACGCCGGGAATAGTTTTCGAGAACGGACCGGTGAGCGCATGAGCCAGGTCAGGGTTCACGGCCACAAGGCAAGACGCGTCGTAAAGGGTAGCAACGGCGCCCACTGCGACAGGAGTAGCGGATTCGTCGGTGGAATTGCAGGTGTAGTTCTGGGTGCCGCGACCGATGGCCACATACTTCAGCTTGAGACCATTACCGGGGTTAGGGAGAGGGGGATTGGTTCGCTCGAGAGGAAGCTTGACGTTGTCCAGAGGGCAGTGGTTCACATTGACGGACCCGAGGATCTTGGTGATCTTCACGAATTCTTCAGTCAAATCAAGGTTGCTCACGCCGACTTCAAACCAGTCAGGGGTCTCTTTCGGAGTGACAGGACTGGCAGGAGTAGGAGCAGCCTGGACGCCAAGGATGGTGAGGAAAAGAAAGACGAAGATAGTATGCAAAAACATAGTGCCGGTTAAAGTTCGAAGTGAGGATGGTGAGAGAAGCTTTATGAATGCGAGTTACAGGTAAGAGAAGAGAGATGGATGGAAGGTGAGTGAATTAGAGATGGAGGTGGTGGAAGGAGATAAGAGAGGTAGAGGAGGAATGGAAGAGGGTATTTATGTTGAGGGCCACCGGTGAGAGGATGGTGACTTGACGGTGACTTCCAGGAACTTCTCAGATCTCATATCCTAAGCGAAGCTTGCCTCGTCACCAATCACCAGAAATGGATACCGTTGTCCCCAGTTTGGCGAAACTGCCTTGCCAGAAATTTGGCTCTTCACTGGAACTCTCCCTTGGCCAGCATCTAGATCAATGGCAGATACACCGCCTCTTCAGAAGGAATTTGCGAAGGTTGCACCTGAGAAATGAGAGCTAATGTTACATTGGAAATTGAATAGGAATTAGATTGCGGGCACCAAACATGTACAGTATAGGGATTGAAACGTTCTGTGTGCACCCCGTGCCCTACCCCTCCCCCTCTCTACAAATTGCCCCAGATATCAAGGGACGCACAGATGACATGCCTGACAGAAATCCGTTTCATAAAGCCACCGACCAAAAATAGTCCCATTAGCCGCCCTGCATCCTTCGCGCGGCTCGATCACGACTTGTATCTGCAGTGCACGGCTCCTCACTGCTAAATATTCATAAGGCTCACAAGTTAGCCCCAGCTAAGGACAAACCCCAAACCAAATTGTGCGATACCATAGATCTGGAATGACCTGTCAGGCCTTCATTGGTTCCAAGTGGGTATACTTCCAGAAGCGATGTTGGATGTCTCTCGATTTAGGCGCCATCCTGCAAGGCGGCCCTGCAACCACGCCCTTGACAGCGCGGCAAGGACAGATGAGGACGCCGCAAAACTGTATTCTTATCAGTCTGGAAGCGTCTTATGGCTTGGAATCTATTTCCAATAAGATTGAGATATAATAGTTAGTATGTTTCTGTGGGCTGGAATTGTGGCGGTACCGCCCGATAGGCGGCTAAAGTTGATTGATAGTAGCTTCGACATGCCAATACTATGGATGATTTGCTCAGGGTTCATGGAGTAGTCCGCAACCTTGGGGCGCAGTTGAGTTAGTTCAGTGGCTTTTGGCCTCAGCGATGTTGGTGATTCTTTTGATAACATGATATCCAATCTATCAGCTTTCATTATCCAATAAAGTCACTAGGGCAACTCAGAAGTGTCTATTCATTCTGCCTTGGGTACCACCAGAGACGGAGTATCATCCAGCCAATCTCTCTGGGTGAGACAATTTTGTTCTTGCTCGGAGACTGTGCCTGTACTCTTGAAACGGAACATTCTTCGCCATACGAAACGAGACACAGCAGAAGCCCGGGTAAGTATGATAGACATTTTAGGTGCACCACGACTATTGCAATGGTTGAAGGAACTTGGCTATATGAATCTCTGAAGGTCTGCTGAGATTTTACTATGTTGATTGTATCGCGTGCAGGAAGAAAGGAGTGTCACAGGGCGCGGCATACATCAAATGGCCATGGAGGGGAGGCAAGCGGTGAAATGATAGTTTACATCGCAGACATATGAGATGTCTACAATAACCAATCGGCGTAGCGAAACAGAAATTGGGGCTCAGCACTTATACATGTCCGAAAAAGCCCTAGATGATGGCGCCGCAAAGGTCCTGTCGATTTAAACTTATCGAAACTACTAACGATATCATGCTTACAATGGGGTTCATACCTTCTCGTCAATCGGATCACACTCGGAGCGAGAGTACGCTTTTAATGATTAATGATCAAGTGGCTAATAATCAAACTGTTCCCCGGTATTCTTCTCTGGTCCTACTAGATATCACTTCACTGCTCGGGCAGGACGCCTCACAACTCCAGATATTACTCCACAATCAAACCAGGTAGGAAGAGTGAGATAGACCACGTTGATGCTTGACGAGGAAAAGAGAACGCCGTCAGTCCCATATATTACAGTCAAATCTGGATCTTCCTCATGTGGTCGATCTGTGGAGCAGGATTCCATAGCCAGCGAACATGCGGGTAGCCACGAACATTTATTTCCTCGATTAAAATAGCAGAGGCAGGATCAAACGGACAGGGGAGCATTGCCAAACCAAACTCGCTGCTCCATAGAGATATTCTCGATCAGCACTCCTCCAATAAGAAGTTTTCATGAGGCAATCTCTACGGAGTACGAGATCAACTTGGTCTTCACTGTTCGCTGAATCGCGGTGAAACGTGAACATCACTCCTGAGGATCTACTCCGTACTCGTTGAGTTTATCAGATCATCGCGGTTAGTTTCTAATTTCGACCTCCTCTTAATAACAGCCAGAATTTATCCGTTCTTGGCAGGGCGCTGTTCCGGCAGTTTCTCTCTTTCTGAAACGACGGGAGAAACTCCGAAGCATTTCCAGCTCCACATTTCCCCTGAAAAGGTTCCTCGTTACTTTCCTCTTCAGGATCTCCGCGCCAAATCTGACCTAGTCCTCTGATCAGTCTGGGCCTGAAGGGTTGACTATCTATACTTTACTATCGACTTCAGACAGGGTCAGGCATGGGATGGAACGAGCGCCGTGTCTCAGTGCTGCCTGTGCAGCTGATTTGAGACTCTGAATCGCTGCATTTATTTCCTTCTATCACCCGGTAGGCAACTCGAGTTTGCAGACGGCAGAGCGAACACCGGTTTTATAATGTTTCAGACCAATCTAAATCCCTGAAACCGGTGATAAAAAAAATCTATGCTGCTGCTTCAAGTTGCGCTTGGCATTCCATTCCATCACGCCATGGCAAAATCCTGACGGCGGACTTATATATTGCCCTCTCGCTCAAGTCCACCTAAGGGAGTAGCAACCCATTCTTCTCTTCTCTCCTATCCAATAACCATGTCTCTAAGCAAACAGGCCCTCGCTGCCCTTCTTCTTTCCGTGACCGGCACTTCTGCCGCGCCGGCTCCCCAGGCCAGTGGCTCTACCAGCGATGCCTTCAAGGCCAACCCGGATGTTGGCCCTGGCGGCAGCACCTTCGAGGACTCGGACCATTTCCGCCTCTACGGAACGGCCAAGGGCGGTTCCGATGCCGTCTTTGGAATGATGGAGGCTGCCTACTCCTGCTTTGTTGATGACATGGAGTTCACTACGTCCGGTCTCTCAATCCTAGATGATGCTGACCAGAACCCAACCTTGTGGAAGGAGAACATCTACGCCACGGATAGCCTCACCGGAGGCGCTGCCGGCGTGCTCCAGTCCGACCCAACCCTGGGACTCAGCTGGCTGGAAGTTCTCCCTGATTATGCTGCCGACCCAAGCGTCTTGGTGCATGAGTACGGCCATGGCTTGACTTACCACAGCCGCACCTGGGTCGACCAGACTGCCACCGGTGCCTGGTGGGAAACCATCGCCCAGTGGTTCGCCGAGACCTACATCACCTCCTCCCTGTGCCGGAAGGCCCGCTCGAACCACAACCAGGAGGCCGGTAACTCGATAATCGAGCTCAACAAGGTCATTAGCGACTCGTACCAGGTCATCGTTGACGGCACCGCCGAGTCAGGCAACTACTACCAGGCCTGGCCCTTCTTCACCTATCTCACCTCCAACCCCGACAACTACACCGGCCTCGGCCAGGATACCGTCCGCCAGCTTTTCAAGCAGTACAAGGAGGGCAGCAACGAGACTCCCCTCCACACCCTCGCACGCCTTTCCACCGATGCTTCCGTCGCTGAGATCGTCGGCAGCTACTGGGCTCACATGGCCTACGTTGACATCGGCGACTCGGCCGCCCAGGAGGCCTTCTTCAACCAGCGCAGGGATCTGAACTACGACAACGTGGAGTCCCAGGGTGAGGGTTCCTATGTTGTGAAGTCTGCCCGTCAGCCCCAGTACATGGGCGCCAACATCCTTCCTCTCACGACCTCCGGTGCCGGCACCGTCGAGGTCACTGTCACCAGCAGCGGAGCCTTCACTTCTACGCTTGCGGTCTACAACTCTGAGTCGGGTGCCGTGCGCTACGTCTCGCTCAAGAGCGGAAAGGGATCCGCTGACCTCACGGCCAACGAGGAGGCCAGCCTTGTCGTCGCCAACACCCCCGAGTCGGTTATCCAGTATGATGGCTTCAACCTTTCGGATGATGTCACGAAGGGTCTGGATTATACTGTTAAGATCACCGGTGCTACTATCTAAGCTTTCAACTGTTTGCCCTGTGTGCAAATCTTTGCTTTCCTTCTATAATTTATTTCCGTTCTTCCTGTATTTAATTAAGATTACAGCTGGTACTTGTCTATAAAACCTTAAGCCTCTGTTGCTATTACATTTATAATTATCTACTAGGACGGGCTTCTGTCGTAATCATAGTTAAAACATTCTACTGGTGATTTTCATTTCTTTTAACAATTTTTTGAAGGTCTCGTACTGCTTCTTTCTCTGCGTCATACTCCAGATCAAATATCTCCATCCACTGTGGGCTTTTCATGTCTAACCTGCAAGCTGCCAAGATTTCGCCGTTTACATATCCTTCATATCTATTCTTTGTAGATAATACTAAAGAAAACATAAGCTTTCGTTTTTTTTATCTCTTCCTCTGTTTCTCTTCTTTCTTTCTATCCTCTAATAAAATTTGCTTCACTCTTGATAACATCTTACAAACACAAATCACAACTTCACTGCACGTTGAAACAAAAGCTCGCCACGTCGATCCGGCTCCTCGACTCCGGCAATTCGAAACTTTGTTTGCATTCAATGGGACCGTTATTCAATTTACCGCCTTAGGCAGTTCCTGTCAAGGCAAACTTGCTCCACAAAAATTCAGCACATTTAGCTCAATTAGCCCATACTCTCTAGAGTACAGAGCTTGAAAGGAAAAAGAGAGATCCACTGGTGAAACGTAATGGAAAAAAAGAAAAAAGCAAGAGAAACGTGAGAAGGAACTGAAAAGCCATCTAATTAACAGACCCATAACATGTATTACGGTTTGATCGTAAGCTACTTGATATTGCGCGATACCGGCGGTCTAGTCCGCCCCTCTTTCGTTGTATATAGACCATAAACTTGATTTCGAGAATCAAAAATAACAAGCCACTATTCATTCCTCTAGTACGTTTAGTGTGACGGATGGGGAGCCCGCCTCTCTTTTGAAGCTCTGCCTGTGTCTCCCGTCGACTTCGTCAAATGCCCCATCGTGCCACAGAAATAACTCAGCCCTATTAAGATAAAGTGGATACTCGCTCGGCTGCCGATCCCAATTTATGGCCGCCTGGTAGGCCTGGTAGGCTGGCAAGGTTGCCGGCACGAGGCCAAAAAGAATCAGGAGTTCAGGGCCCTCAAGAGACGGCTTGTTCTGATGGCTCCTGGCCTCATGCAAAATTGCAAGTTTCGTCACGGTGGATAACGCTGCCAGGAGAAGGGCCGTGCAGTGTGCCGACGGCTTCCGGACCACGGTCCCAAAATGGTCTGTATTTCCGAGGATGGAGCTTACGAGGAATGACCCTCGCTAATACTAGTCACTAAGAGGTCAGTATATGATCCATGCTATGGGTGCTATTGAATTTGTTCTGGTCCCAAGCCCAAACGGGTCAGCTCTCGCCTTTGGTAGGGATGTTTAGCTGCGTTGACGTAGCTAAGTGTTTAGACTTTCCACTTCGTAGGATAGGTGGGTTTGAACTGGGTTGTTGCCGTTGGTGAACTTGATGTCAATTCCTCAGTCTGAGACTAATTTCAGATTGGGGGCCTCGACTGCAGTCTGTGCGACTTTTGCCTGGTTTTGCAGGGTTGGACGGATGAACTTCGGAGTATGACGTTGATTGATTATGCTGGACAGTGTTGTCAGTGTCAGTGTCACGGCTTAATGGTGCGTCCCATAATCTCTAGAAAACTCCGGTTTATGATGTCATGGTACGGCGTCAGGGCTAATGAGAGTCTTCATCCTGTGGCTGCATAGTGCATACTCCGGAGTACATACACTGTAAAATGTCAACCAGACAGTTCCGGTCTGAATCGTGTCGTGAGACCATCGTGTACTATACAATCCCAAGTGTTTCTCACGCCTTTGGTGTGAAGTAATAGAAGCGTTTGAGGCACAACCGAACGATGTAAACGCATATAGGACACGGTGATGAACTTCCCTATGTTTTGACAGCAAACACCTCATGGATTAGCCTTCTGCATTGTTTTAATCAATTAAACAATATTGTAAAGTGTGTATTTTTTTTTAAAAAAAAAAAAAAAGCTTTAGGATGTATTCATGTGTTCGAGTTGAAATTGCTGAACGTTCGGTCAATTCACGGAGTACTGCCTCATGGAGGTCAATGCGCTCGATTTTGATGTTTGTCAGATATGATAGCATAGATATGACCGTAAGTCTTGGGCGAAGCATAGATGTTCATTTCTTTTCAAAAAAACCTATCAACTCATCTGTCTTTGCTCGCGCGCAAAAATATCTGACACTACTCAATGAACCTCCAGATGGGACAAATATATATGACCAAGCCGTTTTGGTGGAAATGGTATGAATCGGACGATATCAATAAAACCGATCTTCATGTGCCACACGATAGATACGCTGGTCTTATCACATATCTTGAATGAATCCATCTAATATCGAAGTCAAGTAAGAAACTTGGGAGAGTACGGTATAAGTGGTGGCAGCCAGTTGTGCGCACAACTAAATTTCCGAAAACAGAATTTATGCAGTGCACGAGCCCGAGGCCGAGGATCACGTGTGGCTGAGTCAGCGAGACTGGTCCCGCAACCTCAACTTCACTTGACTTTTTGCGCGGCAGTGATTTGGCCATCCCAACCATCAGCGCAGAGCTCCCCACCTCATCAATCAGCGTGCCGTTATCGCGGTGTCCGATCCGGATGTAGCTATTGCTACCCCTTCTTGGGATTATTTGTTCTCTATCTCATCATTGGAACCATTGTTGCCACCAACATGTCTGACGGTATGTCCCTATCTCCCCTCGGGATGTGCTTCCCCCACTCCCAAGACCGACGCGTCACTAACTTTACTCCCTTTGTAGCCGATTTCGAGGCTGTTCGGAAGCTCCAGGCTGAGCGGAATGCCGCTTCAGCTGGGAAACAAGGTTCTAGGACCTTTGATCCGTCTAGCCAGCGCACTGACAGCTCGACCAAGGCCTCCCTGACTGAATCCTTCGATACGGATGTCTACGAACGCGATGGCGCCAACAAATTTGCCGGCTATGACACTTCGATTGCCGTTAATGATGACGATGAGGACATGGAGGATGCCGATGCCGGTCACCGTCTTGTCGGCCAGTATACCGCGACCAAAAGTCAGATGGATGAGTTCGCCCACGGTAACGGGGTCGAAGAGGAGGACATTCTTCTCGGTCGCGAGAAGGCGGCCAGGATCGCCGACCGAGAGACAGATTATCAGAAGCGTCGGTTCAACCGTGGTCCCTTGACCCCAACCCGGGCCGATCCCTTTGCCGCGAACTCTCACGCGAACGTGGAGGAGTCGGATGGCCAGACTTATCGTGAAGTCATGGCCCTACGTGACCTTGAAAAAGAAGAAGAGCGTGTCCAGAAGCTGATTCAAGAGAAGCAGGCCCGTGGTGAGGACGGCGTCCCCGAACATGAGGCCACGTTGAAGCTGGAAGACAAGGAGAATGCCGACGCCGGTTCGGCCGTCTCTGTTGCCACTGGCCGCAAGCGCAAGCAGCGGTGGGACGTGTCTTCCGAGCCCACCGAGACGGCACCAGAGCCTCCTCAGTCCACGGAGGCTAAGCCCAAGAGATCCCGTTGGGACCAGACTCCCGCGCCGGCAGCGCCTGGCGAAGAAGCACCCAAACGTCGGTCGCGATGGGATCAGGCACCCTCGCTCGCACCCGGTGCGACTCCCGTCGGTAACCAGGGACTTGCGACCCCCATGCACCCGTCGCAGACAGGCTCATCGGCTATGCTTCCAACCAGCTTTGGAACCGATATCTCGGCTCGTAACGCCCCCTTGTCCGATGAGGAGCTGGATATGATGCTGCCCTCTGAAGGCTACAAGATCCTCGACCCTCCCCCGGGTTACGCTCCGATCCGCACCCCTGCCCGGAAACTCATGTCCACTCCCGCCCCGATGGCCAGCTCGACTGGCGTTGGTGGCTTCATGATGCAGGAGCCAGAGAGCGCTCGGGCTCTCGGCAAGCAACTCCCAACTGAAATCCCTGGTGTCGGTGATCTGCAATTTTTCAAGCCTGAGGATATGGCCTACTTTGGCAAGCTTATGGAAGGAGGGGACGAGAGCGTGATGTCTGTGGACGAAATGAAAGAGCGAAAAATTATGCGACTGTTGCTGAAGGTCAAGAACGGCACGCCACCCATGAGAAAGACTGCCCTGCGTCAGCTCACCGATAACGCACGGAATTTCGGAGCGGGACCTTTGTTCAACCAAATCCTTCCCCTGCTTATGGAGAAGTCTCTGGAGGACCAGGAGCGCCACTTGTTGGTCAAGGTTATTGACCGTGTGCTCTACAAGCTCGACGATCTCGTTCGTCCTTACGTCCACAAGATTCTCGTCGTCATCGAGCCATTGCTCATTGACCAGGATTACTACGCTCGTGTGGAAGGTCGAGAAATTATCTCGAACTTGGCCAAGGCCGCTGGTCTTGCTACCATGATCAGTACTATGCGTCCCGATATCGATCATGTGGATGAATATGTGCGAAACACGACTGCTCGAGCTTTTGCCGTGGTCGCCTCCGCCCTCGGTATTCCAGCTCTCCTTCCCTTCCTTCGTGCTGTCTGTCGCAGTAAGAAGTCCTGGCAGGCCCGACACACTGGTGTGAAGATTGTTCAACAAATCCCCATTCTTATGGGATGTGCTATTCTTCCCCATCTCAAAGGTCTGGTCGATTGTATCGCCGACAACCTCAGCGACGAGCAGGCCAAGGTTCGCACGGTCACCGCTTTGGCTGTGGCCGCCTTGGCTGAAGCCGCCAACCCTTACGGTATCGAAAGCTTCGATGAGATCCTGAACCCCCTGTGGACGGGAGCCCGGAAGCAGCGTGGTAAGGGTCTGGCCGCCTTCCTCAAGGCCGTCGGTTACATCATCCCTCTGATGGACGAGGAATATGCCAACTACTACACCAGTCAAATCATGGAAATTCTTCTCCGTGAATTCGCATCTCCGGATGAAGAGATGAAGAAGGTTGTTCTGAAGGTGGTCTCACAGTGTGCCAGCACCGACGGTGTGACGGCTAGCTACCTTAAAGAGCACGTTTTGACCGACTTCTTCAAGAGCTTCTGGGTCAGGCGGATGGCCCTCGACCGCAGGAACTATCGTCAGGTGGTTGATACCACTGTCGATCTCGGACAAAAGGTTGGTGTTGGTGAGATTCTTGAACGTGTTGTCAACAACCTGAAGGACGAGAGCGAACCCTACCGAAAGATGACCGTGGAGACGGTCGAGAAGTTGATTGCTGCTCTCGGAGCGGCCGACATCTCGGAGAGGCTGGAGGAGCGGCTTATTGATGGCGTTCTCTATGCCTTCCAGGAGCAAAGTATCGAAGACATTGTCATCCTGAACGGCTTTGGCACCGTGGTGAATGCTCTCGGCACTCGCTGCAAACCCTACCTGCCTCAGATTGTCAGTACCATCCTTTGGCGATTGAACAACAAGTCTGCCACCGTGCGTCAACAAGCGGCCGATCTCATTTCTCGTATTGCCATGGTCATGAAGCAATGTGGCGAGGATGCTCTCATGGGCAAGCTAGGCATCGTCCTCTACGAATATCTGGGTGAGGAATACCCTGAGGTGCTCGGTTCTATTCTCGGTGCCCTGCGGTCTATTGTCACGGTGGTCGGTATCAACCAGATGCAGCCACCCATTCGAGATCTTCTTCCCCGTCTTACTCCCATTCTTCGGAACCGTCACGAAAAGGTTCAGGAGAACACTATTGATTTGGTTGGTCGTATTGCCGACCGCGGGCCCGAGTCGGTCAATGCTCGCGAATGGATGCGTATCTGCTTTGAACTGCTGGACATGTTGAAAGCCCATAAGAAGGGTATCCGCCGTGCCGCCAACAACACTTTCGGTTTCATTGCCAAAGCCATCGGTCCTCAGGATGTGTTGGCTACCCTGCTTAACAACCTTCGTGTGCAAGAACGTCAGTCCCGTGTGTGTACTGCAGTTGCCATCGGTATCGTCGCCGAAACTTGCGCTCCGTTCACCGTCCTTCCAGCTTTGATGAACGAATACCGCGTTCCGGAACTGAACGTGCAGAACGGTGTCTTGAAGGCGATGTCCTTCTTGTTCGAGTACATTGGTGAGATGGCTAAGGACTACGTTTACGCCGTGACGCCACTCTTGGAAGACGCTCTCATCGACAGAGACCAAGTTCACCGACAAACCGCTGCCAGTGTCGTCAAGCACATTGCTCTGGGTGTGGTCGGCCTCGGATGTGAAGATGCGATGGTCCATCTTCTCAACTTGGTCTTCCCTAACATCTTCGAAACCAGCCCTCACGTTATCGATCGTGTTATCGAGGCGATCGACGCCATTCGCATGGCCGTTGGAACGGGCGTGGTCATGAACTACGTATGGGCTGGTTTATTCCATCCTGCCCGCAAGGTGCGCGTTCCATACTGGCGGCTGTACAACGACGCCTACGTGCAGAGTGCCGATTCCATGATCCCCTACTATCCCGTCTTGGAAGACGAGGGCGTGGACCGGCACGAATTGTCCATCATCGTTTAAGCCCAAAAAGCATGCCGTTGATTCCTTTTACCTTCCATTGATGTATTTCATATACAGGATGCTTTTTTCCTCCATTGGATCTTTGAGCTTTTTCTTTTTACGTCTTTATATTCTTTGACACACTAGGCCTGATTTGATTCATCGCGAACGGTGTTGCTGCTCTGGGCGGGTAATTCGGCGTGTATCTATTTTTTTGCCTTTTCTTCTCGAAAGATATATCTTGTAGTAAATGATGATTGTTCTTTATGTCATTCACAATGTCTTATATTGGTTGGTTGTGGGCATCCTTCACGTACAAGTCTGCGTATCATCAAACCTTCCCCGCATCAACCTCCTTTCTTGGCGCGTTGGTTTTACATCATTGCATGTCTTCACTCCATCTGAGTGTCCTACCTGTTCTACCCCGACTGCTAAATAGCGATGAATCTCCCATTGGATTGCGATGTGCTTGTCGTTGGCAGCGGCAACGCCGGCTTCTGCGCAGCCATATCGGCCGCCCAGTCCGGTGCCCAGAAAGTGGTTATCATTGACAAATGCCCTGAAGAATGGGCTGGCGGAAACTCCTATTTCACTGCAGGGGCGTTTCGCACTGCTCACGATGGCCTGGAGGATCTTCTTCCCTTGGTGAACAATGTTGATCAGACTACAGCACAGAAGATCGAGATGGCAGCCTACACCGAGGCTGACTTCGCTGGCGACATGAACCGGGTGACTGGCAATCGGACTGACCGGGACCTGTGCCGGATCTTAGTGACTGAGTCCAATCCAACAGTCAAGTGGTTAGCAGCCAACGGAGTCCGCTTCCAGCTTTCCTTCAACCGTCAAGCCTATGTAGTCAACGGCAAGATCAAGTTCTGGGGCGGACTAGCCCTCAAAACCCAAGATGGCGGCAAAGGACTGATTCAAGACCATATTCAAGCCGCTCAGAAGCATGGAATCAGCATCTTCTACTCGACCGCGGCACAGCGGCTCATTCGCGACCCAGCCTCCCGCGCCGTGACCGGAGTCGAGGTCGTACAACAGGGCCAGGAAAAGACCATCCGAGCCCGTGCCGTCATCCTTGCCGCCGGCGGATTCGAAGCCAACCCACGCATGCGAGCCCAGTTCCTCGGTCCTGGCTGGGACGCCGCCCTGGTTCGCGGTACGCCTCACAACTTCGGCGAGGGTCTCGAGATCGCCATCCGCGACGTCGCAGCCAAACCCGCAGGGAACTGGTCCGGCTGTCACTGCGTGGCATGGGATGCCAACGCGCCTGCCAACTCCGGCGATCGTGAAGTCTCCAACGAGTTCACCAAGTCGGGCTACCCGCTCGGCATCATGCTGAACCGCCAGGGCCACCGATTCGTCGACGAGGGCTCGGATCTCCGCAATTATACCTATGCCATGATCGGACGACAGATCCTACGCCAACCAGGGCACGTCGCATTTCAGGTGTGGGATTCGCGGGCGACATCCTGGCTACGCGCGGAGGAATACCGGCCTGAGGTCGTACAGCAGATCACTGCATCGACGATCACCGAACTCTCGGAGAAATGCACCGAGCATGGTCTAGAAGATCCGCGACAGTTCGAACGCTCCGTCCGCGAGTACAACGAAGCCGTATATGAAAGCCAACGGCAGGATCCAGATAGATCATGGGATCCGGCCGTGAAGGACGGCCTGTCGACTCAATCGCCGACAGCTGCATTGGCGATTCCCAAGTCTAACTGGGCTCTGCCTATTGACCAAGGCCCTTTCCTAGCTGTCAAAGTCAGCGCGGGGATTACCTTCACGTTTGGTGGACTGGCAGTCAATCCGGAGACTGCGGGTGTTATATCGTCCTTGACGAATGAGGAGATCTCTGGGTTGTATTGTGTCGGAGAGATGCTTGGGGGGTTATTCTATGATAACTATCCCGGAGGGAGTGGATTGACCTCAGGGGCGGTGTTTGGTCGACGTGCCGGACGGGCTGCTGCTGCTGCTTCTCTTGCGTAGTGGTGCGGTCATCGCAATTGGGACTGGGTTGATATAGAATCGAACGGCTGTGGATGTCAGTCTTGGTATGGGATATGATGTGAAGCAGGTACGAGATTTGATGCTGCGTGTAATCTTCATATGCTGCAGGTCTAGAACCATCTTCTTTATGAGAGCAAGATATTGTGTCTGTGAATTGCAGTGGGTTTGTCAAACGTACACTCAGTGTTGAAGTATATAAATATCTTGATCGACATGTATCTATACCGGGCAGGTTAAGCATGAACAACAATTCAAACCAGGCTTCTATTGTACTGCTAGCATCTCGATTACCATCAAGTAGCCATCTACTTAGATAGCAGTACTGCATCTATCTACAACATTTACTATGCCGTCGAAGCATATCCTACCGCTACCTCTTACACCGTCGCACTCCGATCTTGATCCCGAGAAGCACGTGAAAACTAACGCTTATCTAATCCGGCCAGCCCGCCTTCCACCCAACACAAGAATCACATTGTCATTGCACATACAGTAGATACATCCATACATGCATACACATACAACACTTGAACAATCAAGAACAAGAAACACAGTCTCATTGCAACCCTACCTTCAACACAGTGTACGTACACCCTTTCCCCCCATCATCCATGGATTCACGCAACAACCAGAGACCATTTGCCACATGTCCCCGATGCCAAGCATTCACCCTGCAGGCGTCGAGTATGTGCCGCGTAAGCCTTCTCCATCGCCCATGTCATGTGCGGCCTTGGCACATGGGATCTGTGGGGAAACTTCGTCCAGTTGCTTTTCCCGTTCACTGGCCCTCTGACATTCCTGGTTGAAGGCTGTCCAGATTAGTCGGCTTCAGGGTTGTGTGGGAGCCCTGTTTGTATGGTGTATACTCCGTCATTATGCTCTCTCTTGCGCGTACTCCATACACACTGTGCCGTCAGGGTCCCTTTTCTTTTCTTTTCTTTTCTTTTCTTTTTTTTTTAAAAAAAAAGTTCGAATTCTAATCTTTGGTTCCCCTTTTCATTTTCAGGGTCAGGTCAGGGTCTGAGGCTCGAGCTTGGAGGGTAGGAAGGCGTGTGCTTTCTTGGTGGCTTTTCTTCAAATTATGGAAAGGGTTTCCCCCTCTTTTTGGTAGTCTCTCTTCATGATTAGGACATCTGTTCGGAGTATGTACATCGTGCTCCGTAGTATTACCCTAACGTAGTTTACTGAATAATGAATATACATTTCTTATATATTGAATCCCTCCAAATTGGAGGCGCCCGTTGGCGGATTGATCCCCCTTGGCTGACCACATCCACCCATTCCGAGAGAGAATCTGACTGTCTCGGAAACGGAAATGGGCCCGTCAATGTCTGAGGTAGACGCGATAAATTAAAACGGATTGAAATTGAGTAGAGCACGGATGTCTATGACCGCATCGACACTACGAACCATGTCTCATACTTGTCTACGCCAGACGACTGCCCGTGAATATATTATCTATCTATCGTACGCCATACTCCGTCCGGTCAAGTGTACGCATGTATGTACTGTAGGTGTAGATAGTTGTACGGCTGAATGGTTGGATGCACATACATCCAACATCCCAGCCAAATGCAAGTGTGCACACCACCGACCGGTCACCCCTGCACCATCTCGTCACCTTGCTTGGGTCGTCTGCCTGGTTGGCGATGGATGGCTGGATGGCTGGATGGCTTGCATGGAAACCTTTTCCTTAAGGTAGGATCGGTCAAATATGAAATTGTTCCTAGTGTAGAGAACTAGTGGCACTATTGTTCAGGTCCTCGATGGATTCACAATAATCTTTCTTTCTTTCTTTCTTTCTCTCCTCTTTCTACTCCGTAATTATCCTCTAATTGAGAGAATTGGTCTGGACTGATTCGAGGAACCTTGTCACTCGACCTTCAGGGTTGTACTCCGTATCGGTGTTGGTTTTTTTTTTTTCTTTTTTTTTTTCTCCCCTGTCCATTCCTTCCCGTCTTTTAGTTTTGGGCCATTACGAATCCATGAAAAAATCAGCACGCAGGAATTAAATTAGTACACGTCCCTTTTTTCTTTTTCTTTCTTTTTCTCTTAGTTTGTTGTTGGATGTCACCTTTTCAATGATTATGATTTTTTGCCCCTCGGTTCATGTGAGAGGGAGAGCTGAAGGGATCAGGGATCAAATGGCTCTCGGGGCTGACGATTGCCGGTGATGTAAGCCCTGTCCTGTTTCTAAGTATATCTCTCACTATTGCCGAGATTTGCAATTGATTATCTTGATGGATGATGTACAACGGCGAACTCGGGGAGGAAAACCTATTAGTAATATCTAATCTTAATTCTATACAAAGTAGATACCAGGAACGCTTTCATACGAAGTACTCTACTCCGAAGAGTCCATGGTTCTCACCCACAGCTGCCCGTTCCAGTCTAGCCGCCAATGCAGGGTCTTTCATCCTTCCGATTAATCTAAGCGCGTAAAAATTCGTATACCTACGGAACCTCCGTGGATGGTCTGAGACTCCGAGACTGAGTACTGATTGCGCAGGCTCAATTTACTCGATACTCTCAGACATCAGATACTGGTGTGAAAAGTGGATTTGAAAAATCAAAAAGCCCACGCACGAAGGATTCCCATGGCACCTGTCTGGCATGTCTCAAATGTTCCTAAAGAGATTCACCATCCAATGATGGATCTCAGACAACTCTCATAGAGTGCATCGGATTCGCAACGCATTCCTCCTTGGCCGATGGCCCCCCTCTTCGGGCGCGGCCCCCCTCTCTCTCTCTGAGAGTCTCTCTCCCTCTCCTCTTTCGGCGAGGATGCATCGCGCCGCCGCCATTGACATACGCCAAGAAACCGGTAGACTCCACTTTCTGCACACTAGCATGATTTTTCCGTCGGGAATCACGCCAGAGGCTTGAAGGCCGGTGGAAGCTTGTTCAGGGTCCTGTCGTTGGGCGGGCGAAGCGAAGAGGGGAAACGGTGATGGGCGTGATGGGTGCAGCGCCGAGATTTAGTCCTATACACTTGGGCATAATGAATTGACCGCGTGAAAAGATTGCAGTAGGGCAGTCAAGAGGACCGGGGATTACGAACAGGGATGAACGGCCTGAAGAACAGATGACGTACCCCTGAACGGCCAACCATCCTCTCTGTTTGTCTCTGCTAATCTACCTTCCATCTAGTCCATCGTCCTTGAATAGAGTAGGGAAATCACTGTCGGCTCATGCCGTCACTTCCCGTTTCGCACTTACTCAGCTTCTGATGGAGGTTAGGTAATAATTAATTAGTCGTTGGTGGTCTCGAACCGACGCATGGTCACGGTCGAGCCGTCGTCTACCGGTCCAGTGATATCATTTTAAGTTTGTCTCTCTCTTTTTTCTCTCCATCCTCATCCACTCCGGTCGATGGATCCTTTTTCTGTTTCTGCTGCTGACGGAGTAGTTTACGGAGTCTTGGTGGTTTCCCGGGGAGAACTTCAAGACTTCAAGTCAGTTCACGAGTGGATCGGTCTTAGTCCCAAGTCGGATCATTTAGTTCAGTACTAGTCTGTCAACAGGGCGAGAGGGACGGCGCGTTTCAGCTTTCTGCTAGACTTTTCTCATCCTGAAAGTGGCAGTGGGTGTGGAGCCGGCCAGGATCGCACGCAGGGATTCGACCTGCGGGGTCATGGCGTCTTGCGAATCTAGTATTCTGGGTCTGTGATTGGCTCTTTGAATAAAAGAAAAGAAAAATTAGACTGTACCGTGTACACGATAGAGAGTCAGGCACAACGTAAGTTAAAAGAGAAAAAGAGCTACACTGTCGTTACATTGCATATACTCGGAGTGTCTCCCATGGAGAAATATGTACACAGTAAATAACGAATAACAAGAAAAAGACAATAAACCCTCTACCCGAACAGGAATAGCCCCTCTGCAATAAGGAAAGCTCAGTGAGATGTGCACGCGTCAGCTCCTGTGGGTCCATCGACGATGATTGGGTTATCTACTCGAGCCAAGCTCGGCTATCGACTATCTGCCGTCTCTGGGGCATGTGGCTGCATGTCTCCCTGCTTCTTCAAATTAAATCCCATTGGGGTGCCCAATAGCGTGGCCGATTTTTGCACCCTCTCCCTTTTTCCGTTCCCCTGTAGCTTTCCCACCATTCCCCCTCTGGTCTAGCGGGACATCAAGACCCCACCACTGGGGGGAAAGGTCAAGCCTGAACCATTCCGTTAAAAAACAGTCAATGGAGCGCTAAATCCTCTTGTCCTGGCCATGTGGGTCGTCTGGGAAAGGGCCTGTTGGGTGAGGGACTGAGGGTCTTGGCAGAAACGCCACTCGTTCGACGTCCAAAATGGTATCGGGGCGCAGGGCCAATCAAGGCGGGAGTATATTCCCTAGCAGGAAAGATAGTTTGCGGTGCCCACATCTTCTTGATCTTATGGCTTTTGTCCCCATCTCCCGCGCTATCGTCTAGTTCTACCAGTACCAGTACCATGCAATCCTATCTTCCTTCCTACAGCGGATTATGGTCGCGAACTTATGACTCTGACTGAACTATGACTATGACTACGAGTAACTCCGTCGGTATCCATTCCCACCCAGCACCTATCGCGAAGTCGCAATATTCGGTCCAAGCCTGGGACACGGGAAGGAGGAAGGACCCAACCAATAATGCAATTTCCCAGGTCGGGCCCATCCGCTCCCTTATACAAACTCGTACAGACAACTGCTCAATTCTGCTCCATCGAGGACGGGTTCCTGGCGGAAGTTCACGCGATGTTCTATTAGCTTGGCATAACTGGAAGGTTGTCTGCTCGGGGACCTCTCACTTTGTGTTCATTTCTTATTCCCCGAACCTCTAGCCATTCGCCATAGACCTCAATGGTGGGATTTGCTGCTATACTAGATCCAGGATTACTTTCCCAGTCGCCTTCAATTTGAGGCTCCTCTCTCTCTCTCTCTCTCTCTATACGGCTTAGAGTCCTTATCGAGAAGCGGGCACCGTACCGCTTCGTCCACTTGGCTCC